GGGAAGCCAGATTCACTTAACAACCGTGTTACTAGCTGAACAACTGCAGTGATTCGCTGGACAACAGTGACCAGGAAGGTTGTAAAATGGGGCCACTTAAGTAATGCTTAGCAACTGAAGTTTCTGTTCAGTTGTGGACGTAAGTCAAGGACTTCCTGTAGTTAATTTGGATAGGGGCTGATACTTCACCTACAGGAGACTAGACTAGACTAGACTAGACTAGACTAGACTAGACTAGACTAGACTAGACTAGACTAGAATAGAATAGAATAGAATAGAATAGAATAGAATAGAATAGAATAGAATAGAATAGAATAGAAAGCAGAATAGAATAGAAAGTAGAATAGAATTAGAATAGAAATACAGAACAGAATATAACAGAAATACAGAACAGAATAGAACAGAAAATAGAACAGAATAGAATAAAATAGCATAGAATAACAGAGTTGGAAGGAACCTTGGAGGTCATCTAGTCCAACCCCCTGCTCAAGCAGGAAACCCTATACTGTTTCAGACAAATGACTGTCCAGTCTCTTCTTAAAAACTTCCAGTTTTGAAGCATTCACTGCTTCTGGAGGCAGGTGGTTCCCACTGTCAGGAAGTTTCTCCTGAGTTCTAGATTGCTTCTCTCCTTGATGAGTTTCCGTCCGTTGCTTCTTGTCCTGCCTTCAGGCACTTTGGAAAATAGCTTGACTCCCTCTTCTTTGGGGCAGCCCCTGAGGTACTGGACAACTGCTATCCCCTCCCCCCCCTCTCTCTCTCTCTCTCTCACACACACACACACACACACACACACACACACACACACACACACACACACACACACGTCTGCTTCTTTTTCTGACATGCTTATTTCCCTTAGCAATTCATCCTACAATTTAGCCCCCAGACCCCTGATCATCTTTGTGGCTCTGCTCTCTGTGCTGGGCTCAAGTTTGCAGGAAGCCCTTTTGAAGGGCTGAATTAGCAAGAGAAGGAAATTTTCGATGACTCACTGCTTTTTGAATGCGCCTGGAGTAGCGGCCTTCAGCGTCATAGTAAAAAGTGGGCTTTCTCAACATCCTCTCCCAAATGGGGTGATGGAGATTTTCCAGACAAGGGGGAAGAAAAAAAAGAGCAATAACTTGAGATTCTGCACGGTTGATCTGCCAAAGCAGATGTTCTCCATTCTTGCCAATACAGACCGTGATTTGCAAAGAGAAGAACAAAATTAGGGTGTCTTTTTTTTTTTTTTGCCCTGCAACCTTTCTGGAAAATGATTTATGACAGCACAGAGGACACTTGGTGTTGGACAGAAAAGACTTTGTTCTCCAGGGCGTCATCGGTCACCAAATTGCGTTCATTTTTGTTCTCCACACCTGTCCAGCTTCCCTCTATATGTTATAAATAAATTATTCCTCCCCCTCCCCCACTGATGCAACAATAGAAATTTAGAGGAAGTGGATTTAGCCCTGGGGTCTTCAAACTTTAGCCCTTTTATGACTTGTGGACTTCAACTCCCAGAATTCCTCAGCCAGCATGGGGGAACTATGACCACTTCGTGACTCGTGGATTTCAACTCCCAGAATTCCTCAGCCAGGATGGGGGAACTATGGCCCTTTTATGCATTGGGGACTTCAACTCCCAGAATTCCTCAGCCAGCATGGGGGAACTATGGCCCTTTTATGACTTGGGGACTTCAATTCCCAGAATTACTCAGCCAGCATGGGGGAACTATGACCACTTCATATACTTGGGGACTTCAACTCCCAGAATTCCTCAGCCAGCGTGCCTGGCAGAGGAATTCTGGGAGTTGAAGTCTACAAGTCATAAAAGGGCCCAGTTTGAAGACCCCTGATTTAGCCCATGAAGATGGTTTTAAAGGGGGGGAGGGTCTCTTGCTAGCAAGAGGGAGCCTGTTTTTGCAGTGTGCTGAGTCTGGGAAAGAAATGAAAGTCCAAAAAGCTAATGCAATTCTAGGCTGCATTAACAGAGGGATAATAATAGTAATAGTAATAACAGTAATAATAGTAATAATAATAAAATTGGAAGGGACCTTGGAGGTCATCTAGTCCAACCCCCTGCTCAGGCAGGAAACCCTATACATTTCAGACAAATGGCTGTCCAGTCTCTTCTTAAAAACTTCCAGTGTTGGAGCATTCACAACTGCTGGAGGCAGGTTGTTCCACTGGTTAATTGTCCTAACTGTCAGGAATCAAGATCATGTGAAGTGTTGATACCACTTTACAAGGCCTTGGTAAGGCCACACTTGGAATACTGCCTCCAGTTTTGGTCACCACGATATATAAAAGATGTTGAGACTCTGGAAAGAGTGCAGAGAAGAGCAACAGAGACGATTAGGGGACTGGAAGCTAAAACATACGAAGAACGGCTGCAGGAATTGGATATGTCTAGTTTAATAAAAAGAAGGGCTAGGGCTGACATGATATCAAGGTTCCAATATTTGAAGGCTGCCAGAGAGATGGGTGGGGGGTCAACCTATTCTCCAAAGCACCTGAGGGCAGGACATGAAGCAACAGATGGAAACTAATCAAGGAGAGAAACAACCTAGAAAAGGAGAAATTTCCTGACACAGCAATTAGCCAGCGGAACGACTTCCCCCCAGAAGTTGTGGGTGATTCATCACTGGAAGTTTTCCAGAAAAAAAACTGGGCAGCCATTTGTCTGAGACCTTATAGTAGGGTCTCCTGCTTGTGCAGGGAAGTTGGACTAGATGACCTCCAAGGTCCCTTCCAACTCTGTTACTCTGTTATGAAGGGGTGGAGAGCCTTCCAGAATTTTATTTCCTTCTGTTTGCTGGTTCTCCCAGAGGCAGGCAAGCTGATTACCAGACACGTCTGAAGGGGACTGGAGGCTAAAGCATTTAAGGAACGGCTGCTGGAATTGGGTATGTCTAGTTTAATGTAGAGAAGGACGAGGGGGGACATGATAGCAGTCTTCCAGTATCTCAGGGGCTGCCCCAAAGAAGAGGGAGTCAAGCTCTTCTCCAAGGCGCCTGAGGGCAGGACAAGAAGCAACGGATGGAAACTGATCAAGAAGAGAAGCAACCTGGAACTAAGGAGAAACTTCCTGACAGTGAGAACAATTAACCAGTGGAACTACCTGCCTCCAGAACCGGTGAATGCGCCAACACTGGAAGTTTTTAAGAAGAGACTGGACAGCCATTTGTCTGAAATGGTATAGGGTTTCCTGCCTGAGCAGGGGGTTGGACTAGATGATCTCCAAGGTCCCTTCCAACTTTGTTTATTATTATTATTATTATTATTATTATTATTATTATTATTATTATTATTATTATTATTATTATTATTAAATCAACAGGCTTCTGTGGCCATCTGACCCCAATCGCCCCTGTTCTTCTGTCATGGGAAAGATATACTGTAAAATAAGCTGGGTGTGGTTTTCTTTCCTGTTTTTTTTTCTTTGAAGTAAACCTACATTTCTGTCCCCACATGGAAGGATTTTCACCCACCCACCCACAGACACAGACAGACACAAAAGTATGATCGCCAGCCCTTGACTTACCCTTGATCAAAACTAATGTGTTCCACACCAGTGTTGACCCGTCCAATAGCTTCCAAGTGCTAGCTCACTGCTTTACAATCTTAACTACTTTAAGATCTGTGTGGACTTCAACTTGGGAATTCTGGGAATTGAAGTCCGCACATCTTAAAGTAGCCAAGGTTGAGAAATCACGTTCTACCTCTCTGTAACTAGCTCTCCCAAGCCAGGGAGAACGGATATTCTGGCCTGCTACCTCTCCAGAGTCTTCTGGTTGGGATCTTCTCACTTTCCTTCCTCCTACAACAGGTTGATTGTACTGTAGATGCTGGGCCACCCAGATGGGATCTTTTGCACACAAAATGGGTGAGATCTCCAAAGGGACCAACTTGCCATGTTTTTGACTACCAGCTTTGTACACCCAGGCGTGAAGGCAGAATTTCTAGCCACTGGCAGGATATCTCTGCAATGCAAGAAACAGAAATACATCCATTACATCACTTGATTGAGATGGAGTCCATTACTGGCTTCCACTTAGATGCAGTATATCATTGGCTCAGTAAAGTGAATTGTTGGAATAGGACCACGTCATTGACCCGCTTGAGTTAGTTCTTGGAACAGAACCATGTCATTAGCCCAATTGAGTTGTTTGTTGGAAAGGGACCCTGTGATTTACCCAGTTGAATTGGTTGTTGGAAGAGGACCACATTATTGACCCAGTTGAGTTGGTTGTTGGAACGGGACCATGTGATTGACCCAGTTGAGTTGGTTGTTGGAACAGGACCATGTGATTGACCCAGTTGAGTTGGTTGTTGGAAAGGAACCATGTCATTGACCCAGTTGAGTTGGTTGTTGGAATGGGACCATATTATTGATCCAGTTGAGTTGGTTGTTGGAATGGGACCATATTATTGACCCAGTTGAGTTGGTTGTTGGAAAGGGACCATGTCATTGACCCAGTTGATTTTGTTGTTGGAACAGGACCATGTGATTGACCCAGTTGAATTGGTTGTTGGAATGGGACCATATTATTGACCCAGTTGAGTTGGTTGTTGGAAAGGGACCATGTCATTGACCCAGTTGATTTGGTTGTTGGAAAGGGACCATGTGATTGACCTAGTTGTGTTGGTTCTTGGAACGGGACCATGTGATTGACCCAGTTGAGTTGGTTTTTGGAACTGGACCACATCCTTGACCCAGTTAAATTTTTTGTGGGAACAGGGCCATAGTCCAGTCTACTTTGCATGGTTGCTGTTGGGAGGGAATATTCAAACTGGAGGAGAGAGGGCTTTTATGTTTCTGTAAGCTAGACCGAAACCGCGGCAAGAACTTCTAGCCATCAAATAAATCCATAATGCTTCCTTCCCATGGTCACCTACTGAAGATGAAGATTGGGGCCAAAATGACCTAAGGCGGTCTTGAACTTCCGCATCCACCTTTTCCCACGCCCACCTCTCCTTGGCTTCAGTGAGTAACCTGTTTTGCTTCTCTCCCTGCAGGACATCTGTGAGGACCCCCACCTCTTTGTGGATGGAATCAGCTCCCATGACTTACACCAAGGGCAGGTGGGCAACTGCTGGTTCGTGGCCGCCTGCTCAGCGTTGGCGTCCAGAGAAGCCCTGTGGCAGAAGGTAACCGTTTTGGAAATTGTCGGAAAAAACTATTTGCTTGGCTCCCGCGGCTGTGATGACACAATGAACTTAGCTGTCCTGTGAACCGAGCCTTTACAGGTGGTCCTCGATTTACAACCACAAACTGAGCCTAGCATTTGTGTTGCTAAGCCAGACAGCATTGCCCCGTTTGACGACCTTGCTGCGGTTGTTAAGAGAATCACTGCAGTTCGTTAAGTTAGTCACACGCTTGTTCAGCGAATCTGGCGTTTCTCTCCATCGACTTGCCTTGTCAGATGGTCAGGAAAAGTGGTCACATGATTCCGGGACAACTGCAACCGTCATAAATATGAGTCGATTGCCCAAGAGTCTGAATTTTGATCACGTGATCGTGGGGAATCCTGCGAGGGTCCTAACGGTGAAAAACCACCCTAAGTCGCTTTTTTTCAGTGCCGTTGTAACTTTGAAGGGTCACTAACTGAACGGTTGTAAGTTGAGGACTATCTGTATGTCAACGCTGCTAACATGGGGTGTTCTTGCTTTGACAACGTGTGGAGATGCAGCCTTTTTCTTCCTTATGCTTTACTCTTAGAATTAGATGATACTGGAGGGAGGAGGAAGAATGTGATGGGAGTTAGTTAGACATAACAATATTGTAATAGTGTGTGAATTCAGTGCTTTTGAAATAAGAGACGATAAGAAATGGCGGGTTGAAGAACTGGAGGGAAAGCCCGCATTTCAAACTAATTGGGGAATGTGATTTATGACTGTTAATTGGAGGAGGGAATTGTGCTTGGATACTATGTGCCCAGGGGAGGGGAATTCAGATTTTGGCTTCGCCTATGTACCTGCCGATGCTATGCTGCTCCAATAAAGATTCTTTAAGGTAAACAATACCTCGAAGTTCTTTGAAGAGTTTCATCTGTCGGAACCATGACACTATACTTTTATAAGTAACTCAAGGCGGTGAATGGAAGGGAGGGAATATTAGGAATAATAATAATAATAATAATAATAATAATAATAATAATAATAACAACAACAACAACAACAACAACAACAACATAACACCCCAGACTTAACAATTGTCGATAAGAAAGACAAAAAAGTCTGGATAGTGGACGTGGCAGTGCCTGGAGATAGCAGAATAGAAGAGAAAGAACTGGAGAAGATAACAAAATACAAAGACCTACAAATAGAAATAGAAAGACTGTGGCAAAAGCAAGCAAGGGTAGTACCAATAGTCATAGGCTCCTTGGGTGCAATCCCAAAACAACTGGGGCACCACTTGAACACCCTTGGCATTGACAAATTCGCTATTAGTCAATTGCAAAAGGCGGACTTACTAGGAACTGCTTCCATCCTGCGACGATACCTGTAATACCATCAAACATCCACATCTGCCTATCCCAGGTCCTGGGTAAGGACTCAATAGGTAGACAAAATGCCAAATCCAGTCTGAACATCTGGCTGACTGTGCGATGACCCATAATAATAATAATAATAAAGTTGGAAGGGGCCTTGGAGGTCATCAAGTCCAACCCCCTGCTCAGGCAGGTAACCCTACACCATTTTGGACAGAAGAGACTGGACAGCCATTTGTCCGAAATGGTATAGGGCAGTGATGGCAAACCTTTTAGAGACCGAGTGCCCAAACTGTAACCCAAAACCCACTTATGTATTGTCGGGTGCCGGGTGGGCGTGGCCCATTGGCTGGGTGTGGCCCATTGGGTGGGCGCGGCTGCGGTGGTAACAGCAGACTGGGTGGGATTAAAAAGTTCAATCAGTCAATTCCAACTTGGTGAGATTTTTTTTCCCCGCGAGAAGTTGAAATTGACTGATTGAACCTTTTTTTTTTTTTTTTTTTTTGCACACGGCGAAAAGGTTTTATAAAACCCAGCTGAAGGCCTAGGACTGCGGCAACGGCGCGCGTGCCCATAGAGAGGACTCTGAGTGCCACCTCTGGCACACGTGCCATAGGTTCGCCACCAGGGGTATAGGATTACCTGCCTGAGTAGGGGGTTGGACTTGATGACCTCCAAGGTCCCTTCCAACTTTATTATTAATATTTCTAATATTCCTTCCTCTTTTCCCCACAAGCACAACCCTGTGAGGTAGGTTGGGCTGAGAGAGAAAGGGACTGGCTTAGAATCAATGAGATGCAAACAAACAAACAAACAAAAAACCCCAGGCATATTTTATTCCAGGATGCACGTTCTCTCATATCCATAGATTTGCAAGCAATTTCTTCTCCCCATGGGATGTAATCTTGTGCTCCTTTTCTGATTGGAAAACTTGTTGGGAAAAAAAGATGGGATATTGATAAATGGTTGCATTGCAGAGTACTTTGCAAGTCATTTGAGGAAAATACACAGGAGACAAAATTCGCTTTATTTTCTTCCTTACCTGGAGGGATATGCTGCCCTCTAGTGGGTGAAATTCTACCTCTGGAAAATGATAGTTTGTGGTTTTTATTTTTTTTTATATAATATTTTATTGATTTTCTCATTTTACAGTTGAATATTTAAAAAAGCAAGGTGATGACTGGGTTGATTAATAGTTCAATAGCGTGCTTAAGTCTTTAGTATAAATATCATGTTACAACATCAAATATTTCGTCTCTTTTTTCCATTAATAGCTGCTATCTCATATTGGGCTAGGACAGAGGTAGGCAACCTTGGTTCTTTTATGACTCGTGGACTTCAACTCCCAGAATTCTGAGCCAGCCACGCTGGCTGAAAAATTCTGGGAGTTGAAGTCCGCGAATCATGAAGGGGCCAAAGTTTCCCCCATGCTGGCTCAGGAATTCTGGGAGTTGAAGTCCGCGAGTCATGAAGGGGCCATAGTTCCCACAAGCTGGCTGAGGAATTCTGGGAATTGAAGTCCACGAGTCATAAAAGAGCCAAGATTGCCTACCCCTGGGCTAGTATAAATCTTATCATTATCAACTAAATAAAAACATCTTTGTTACAGTTGTCAATAATTTGTTTGTGGTTCTAAATACACCGATGTACAAATAGCCCTCAACTTATGACCCACAATTTACGAAAGAAAGACAATTGCTAAGTGAGCTTTGCTCTATTCTATGACCTTCCTTGCCGCACCGGTTAAGTGAACCACTCCAGTTGTTAAGTCAGTAACACAGTTGTGAAGGGAATCTGGCTTCCCCACTGATTTTGTTTGTCAGAAGGTCGCAAAAGGGGATCACGTGACCCCGGCATGCTGCGACCGTCATAAATATGAGTCAGTTGCCCAGCGTCCGAATTTCAATCACGTGACCGTGGGGATGCTGCGACGGTCGTAAGTGTGAAAAACGGTCATAAGTGCCGTCGTAACTTTGAACGGTCACTAACCGAACGCCTGTGGGGGGGTAGAAGGAGGGGGAGGGAAGAAATGTTGGATATATTCACTGCCTTGAGTTCTTTGTAAAAAGAACCAAGGCTGGATACAAATTAAAAAAATAAATTATTAATTCATAGCCACGGGGCGCTGCAGCCAATCATAAAATGAGGACTGGGCGCCAAGCGCCCCAAAGGCAATCACGTGATCGTTGGGTGCTTGTGTTGGGGTGTCTAGGTGTGTGTTTGTGTGTGCGTAGCAGCTGTGAGTTCAAGAATGGATCGTAAAATTGGGGGACTGTTGTCACCTAGAATGTTCGTGAAGCGACCAGTCGTAAGTCGAGGACTGTCTGCATCTAGCTTCAGGCCCCCTTCCTCTACATAAGGGGTCGTCCACCTTGGCAACTTTAAGACTCGTGGACTTCAACTCCCAGAATTCCTCAGCCAGCAGGGGGGAACTATGGCCCCTTCATGACTCAGGGACTTCAACTCCCAGAATTCCTGAGCCAGGAAAGCTGGCTGAGGAATTCTGGGCGTTGTAGTCCACAAGTCTTAAAGTTGCCAAGATTGGAGACCTCTGCTCTACGTTCTCACAGCCTCCCCGTTTGGTCCTGGGGAATCTTATTCGAGCAGAGGAAGAAACTCCCTGGCGTCTTATTAGTTGACATCTTCCTCTTCCTCTCTGGATTCCCAGATCCCTTCTGGCTTGTTTGCTCAATGTGGATTTTCCATCGTGGCCTTTTGAGCTGAAGGGGAGGAAGAGCGCTCGGTGGTGCTCGTTGCCCTGAAGGGAGAAGCTTCCAGAGCCTTTATGAATGTGGATGTTTTGGAAATGGATTGTTGGAACAGGTAGACCTCGACTTACGACAGTTCGTGTAGTGACCAGTCAAGGTTACAAGGGCACTGAGGAGGGAGTTGGAGTTGAAGGCCTCCAAGGTCCCTTCCAAGTCTGTTGTTCTATTCTATTCTGTTTTCTATTCTATTCTATTCTCAATAAAGATTCTATTCTATTCTATGTTTTATTCTATTCTATTCTATTTTCTATTCTATTCTATTCTCAGTAATGATTCTATTCTATTCTATTTTCTATTCTGTTCTATTCTCTATTCTGTTCTATTCTATTCTATTCTATTTTCTATTTTCTATTCTATTCTCAATAAAGATTCTATTCTATTCTATGTTTTATTCTATTCTATTCTATTTTCTATTCTATTCTGTTCTCTATTCTGTTCTATTTTCTGTTCTATTCTATTCTCTATTCCCATCACCATCCTTATCTATTCTATTCTATTCTCAATAAAGATTCTATTCTATTTTCTATTCTATTTTCTATTCTATTCTATTTTCCATTCTATTCTATTCTCAATAAAGATTCTATTCTATTCTTTTTTCTATTCTATTCTATTTTATTCTGTTTTCTATTCTATTCTATTCTATTCTATTCGTTCCTGTTTTTCTATTCTATTCTATTCTATTCTATTCTATTCTATTCTATTCTATTCTATTCTATTCTATTCTATTCTATTCTTTCCTGTTTTTCTATTCTATTCTATTCTATTCTATTCTCTATCCTCTTCTCTTCTCTTCTTTCCTGTTTTTCTATTCTATTCTATTCTATTCTATTCTATTCTATTCTATTCTATTCTATTCTATTCTATTCTTCATTCTAATGACCATTTTTCACACTTATGATCCTCGCAGCATCCCACAGTCACCTGATCCAAATTCGGACCCTTGGCAATTGACTTTACGACAGGGTGTGTCCGTGTCACGGGGTCACGGGATCCCCTTTGGTGACCTTCTCACAGGCAGAATCAATGGGGGAGCCAGATTTATTTAACAACCGTGATTCACTTACCAACTGTGGGGAGAACAGTTGTAAAATGAGGCAAAGCTCCCTGAACAACTGTCTCACTTAGCAACAGAAATTCTACGCTCAATTGTGGTCGTACATTGAGGACTTCTGTATTTCGAGAAACTGGTATCATTGGCTGAAATGGAGAGAGAGGTGGTCGACTTATTATTAACGCCAGACTTAACGGAAATCAGAGGCCATCTTTGTTGTAAATTTGTTGTAAATTTTTGGTCCCTTTTAATTGGTTTCCCCCTTTTTCCCTTTTATGTTAGTTTGGATTTTAATGTTGGCCTTTGACATTTAATCAAGATAATCAAGAGGGAAAAAAGAGATGGGATTTTTTACACCAATTCTTATCTGAAGTCTCTGTACAGCCCTGAATAACATCAGCTGAACAAGCACTAAAAAAGTCTTAACTATGTCTTAAAAGTTGCTGAGATTGAGAAATACTGCTTTAATGCACAGGTAGTCCTTGATTTATGACCACAGTCGATTCCAGAATTTCTGTTGCTGAGCACTTCTGTGGTTAGGTGAGTTTTGCCCCATTTTATGACCTTGCTTGCCACAGTTCTTAAGTGAATCACTACGATTGCTAAATTAGTAACACACTTACTCACCTACTCACCCCACTGACTTTGTCTGAAGGTTGCAAATGTGAACGCACAACCTGGCACATGGTGGGGGGACTGGCTGCAAGTCGCTTTTTTCAGTACTGTTGTAATTTCAAACGGTCACTAAACGAACGGTTGCAAATTGAGGAATACCCTGTGGTCAAAACGGTCATAAATAATCAAGTTCCAGAGCTTGCGCGTTTCCTAAATATATCAGGGAAGGTTGACTAGATGCCACCAACTTGCCCACGGACTAGCTTGTCCGGCCACATCCATTGTGTGCAATGCAGCTTAGAAAGAGTTGTTGTGCTGCCGCAGCTGTGTTGTCATCCTCCGTTGCCAGAGGATCTCCAGAGAACCTCTTAATGAATGAAATTCAGAAGGTGGCACACCGAGGGATTTTCATCTTTCCATGATCATATTCGCCAAGGGCTGTATCACGTGCCCTCCATTCATGAGATGATAATAATAATAAAGTTGGAAGGGACCTCGGAGGTCTTCTAGTCCAACCCCCTGCTCAGGCAGGAAACCCTATACCGTTTCAGACAAATGGCTGTCCAGTCTCTTCTTAAAAATTTCTTAAGTGTGGTTGTGTGTTTGGGTATGTTAGCAACATCCTTCAGTATCTGCCACCACTTCTGTGGTGTTGGAGCATTCACCGCTTCTGGAGGCAGGTTGTTCCACTGATTAATTGTTCTCCCTGTCAAGAAATTCCTCCTTAGTTCCAGGTTGCTTCTCTCCTTGGTTAGTTTCCACCCGTTGCTTCTTGTCCTGCCTTCAGGTGCTTTGGAGAATAGCTTGACTCCCTCTTCTTTGAGGCAGCCCCTGAGATACTGGAAGTCTGCTATCATGTCCCCCCTCGTCTTTCTCTTCATTAAACTAGACATACCCAATTCCAGCAATCGTTCCTTGTATGTTTTAGCCTCCAGTCCCCTAATCATCTTTGTTGCTCTTCTCTGTACTCTTTCTAGAGTCTCAACATCTTTTTTTACATAGTGGTGACCTATGAATCAGTTGCCTAGCATCTGAATGTAAATCACAAGACCCTGGAGATGCTGCAACATTCCAGCTGATTGGTGCTTCTTCTGGGCTCAGCGGAAGCGCCAGGATCAGTGCTGCTTTCCAGCTGATCGGCGCTTCTTCGGGGCTGTCAGGGCTCAGCAGAAGCGCCAGGATCAGCGCCAGGCTCCAGCTGGAGCTCGGCGCTGATCCTGGCGCTTCTGCTGAGCCCAGAAGAAGCACCAATCAGCTGGAATGTTGCAGCATCTCCAGGGTCTTGTGATTTACATTCAAATGCTTGGCCACTGATTCATAGGTCACAGTGAAGTGACCAAAACCTGCTGCAACCACCCAGCAGATGGGGAGGGGGGATAAAAACCAAACACCCCCCACCCCACCCCCACTGCCAATCCTCACCAGAAATGCTCACAATAATAAAAACTTCGGACAGGAGGAAGAGCGCCGCCAGGTGGGCAGGCAGGTGTCTTGCTTGGCTGTGGCTTGGGGGGGCACTTTTTTCAGTGCCATTGTAACTTCGAACAGTCATTAAGCGAACTGTTGTAAGTCGAGGACTACCTGTATTTTATCACTTTTTTCCTTTTTTGGGAGGGGGTCATCATGTTTTTGACCCCTTGCTAGGCGACTGGTGGTACTCGGATATTTCCACATCCTAAAAGCGGTACAGTGGGTGAAAAGGTTGAAAAGCCCTGGACTAGAAGACCTCCAAGGTCCCTTTTCAGCTCTGTTATTCTGTTAAACCTGTCCCTACTTGGGAACGGTTGTTAAGCCAGGTTGTTAGGGCTGCCGATATCAAGAGACTTAGCCCAGGGGACGACCGTGCCATTGATGAAGGATTTGTCCCTCCCTGGAAAATGAGACACCCAGGGGAAAATCCCTCAGGCTCCTTGCTTCCCCGGGCCAGGTTGCTTAGCATCACTGGGGTACCAGCAGGTGAGCGAAGACGCAGAAGTAGATTTCCTTCTGCCTGCCAGACCTCTCAGTCGCTCGCCAAACCGTGCAGAATCTCCCCGGAAGAAATGACTTCCGAGGCAGCTGAACTGGAATTGCACTTGGTCCAGGATGCCCAGCTGACCGAGATCATGAGGATCCGCGTGAAGACCCTCCAGCAAAAGAACGAGAAACCTCAAGACGGCGAGAAGCTGCTGCGGGACCACGAGTTCGTCTTCCGACTGGACTTCTCGCGTCAGCACGGTCTCCGTTTCCTGCGTTGGAAGGTGGCCCTGGACCGGCCGGGCAAGGCCACCGTCGTCGGGACGTCTCAACACTGGACACCGGACTTGACCAACCTCATGCGAAGACAGCTCTTGGAGCCGGTGGGGGTGTTTTGGAAGACGCCGGAGGCGCCCGATGTGATCGAGTGCAACGAAGCCGACGCGCTGGAGTTTGGAGAAAGGTTGGTGGAGCTGGCCAAAATCCGGAAGGCGATGTATTTCCTAATAGCCTTCAGCGACGGTCTTGAGCCGGCTCACCTGAAGTGCTCCGTGATGTTCAGAATCTGAATCCTGTCCCAGCTCTTCTCGGCAGTTTTTTCTTCCTTTGAAATATTCTTCTTTTCTTCCTTCTGTTTTGGGCTCTGCAGCTCCGGCAGTGACTTAGTTTTGAACCAGATGGGGGGTGCCCTTTTGAAATGCAGCATTAGTAATAGTAGTAAAGTGGGAAGGGACCTTGGAGGTCATCTAGTCCAACCCCCTGCTCAGGCAGGAAACCCTACACCATTTCGGACAAATGGCTGTCCAGTCTCTTCTTAAAAACCTCCAGTGTTGGAGCATTCACTGCTTCTGGAGGCAGGCTGTTCCACTGGTTAATTGTTCTCACTGTCAGGAAGTTTCTCCTTAGTTCTACGTTGCTTCTCTCCTTGATTAGTTTCCACCCGTTGCTTCTTGTCCTGCCTTCAGGTGCTCTGGAAAATAGCTTGATTCCCTCTTGTTTATGGCAGCCCCTGAGATATTGGAATACTGCTATCCTGTCCCCCCCTTGTTCTTCTCTTCGTTAAACTAGACATACCCAATTCTAGCAACCGTTCCTTATATGTTTTAGCCTCCAGTCCCCTAATCATTAAGTTCCTTGTCTTTGAGCCTGACCTGATGCCGAAGTCAGCTCTGAGGAGGAAACACCACCTCCCTCACTAGGTTGAGGAATCTGCTGTTTTGGAACTTGGAAAAGGCTTTTTCTTCCAGACGTTTTTATTTTAAAAAAATTCAATTTATAGGCTCATCTATCTCGTCCTCGCCTCTCCCAACAGAAAGCAAGCTGGCTTGCGCAGAAGGGGTCTTGCATCCCTCTTTGAAAATTTGGAGTGTTTCCTTGCACTCAAGGCCTCCAGAAAAAGGGAATCGCCCGGTGGATTGTCTCCGAAGCCTACCTAGCAGGGCTGGATGTGAAGAAGACAGGCACATCTTGATTGATATTCCTTTGATCCGATTCATTGCAATAATTTGCTCATTGCCTAAATCCAGGCTCCTGGAAATTTTTAAACTTTTTTTCTTTCTTTCAAACTAAGCCCTAATCTTTCATGGATGCCGAGAAAAACATTGATTTTTCTGAACCAAAAGTTTCCCTAACTTATTTTGTTTTCTCCAGCGCGGCCAACCCACCATCAATTAGAGCACGTCAAGCATGGAAGTATTACACAAAGGGCCCTCTTTTTTTCCCCTTCTTCATAATTTTGCAAAAATTAGCACCATTTCCTCAACTGGGGAACTGAAGACCAGAGATAACAGCTTGATTTTCTGGTTAGATCCCTAGCTAGATTTGGATCTGAACTTCAGGATCTCGGGATCACTTCCATCCCCCTAGCTTGCTTTTCCAGGAAAATACCAAGATTTGCCATCTCCCAAAAGGAGTGCCTTGTTACGCAGGGAATTAAATTCCTTTAAATGAAAAGCAGTGGATTTTTTTTTCTTCTTTGTGCAAATCTGGGGTTTGAAAGAAGCTTTTGAAACTTTTTGCGCTTGATTGACGGAGTAGAATGAAAAGCTTGGCACAACACATTTGCTGGATTGGAGAAATGTTTTTATAATAATAATAATGATAAAGTTGGAAGGGACCTTGGAGGTCATCTAGTCCAACCCCCTGCTCAGGCAGGAAACCCTGTGCCATTTTGGACAAATGGCTGTCCAGTTTCTTCTTAAAATCTTCCAGTGTTGGAGTATTCACCACTTCTGGAGGCAAGTGATTCCACTGGTTAATTGTTCTAACTTTCAGGAAGTTTCTCCTTAGTTCCAGGTTGCTTCTCTCCTTGATCAGTTTCCCTCCGTTGCTTCTTGTCCTGCCCTCAGGGGCTTTGGAAAATAGCTTGACTCCCTCTTCTTTGGGGCAGCCCCTGAGATACTGGAACCCAATATTGGAACCCTGGAGGCATCCAAAATTGGCTGGTTTGCTTGAAGCCACTTTGCATACAGAATAGAGAATAACAGAGCTGGTAGGGACCTTGCAGGTTTTCTAGTTCTAGTAGTCACGTGAAGTATTAGTACCGCTTTATAAAGCCTTAGGTAAGACCACATCTGGAATACTGGATCCAGTTTTGGTCACCCCATTGCAGAAAAGATGTTGAGACTTTGGGAAAAGCTCAGAGAAGAACAACTGGGATGATTAAGGGCTTGGAGACTAAAACATATGAAGAATGGTTGCAGGAATTGGGTATGTCTAGTTTCATGAAAAGAAGGACTAGCAATATTCCAGTATTTGAGGGGCAGCCCCAAAGAAGAGGGAGTCAAGCTATTCTCCAAAGCACCAGAGGGAAGGACGAGAAATAATGGTTGGAAACTGACCAAAGAGAGAAGCAACCTGGAATTAAAGAGAAACTTCCTGATAGTGAAGACAATTAACCAGTGGAACAGCTTGCCACCAGAAATAGTGGGTGTTTCATCACTGGAGGTTTTAAAGAAGAGATTGGACACTCATTTGTCCGCAATGGCATAGGGTCTCCTGCTTGAGCAGGGGGCTGGACTAGAAGACCTCCAGAATCCCTTCCAGCTCTATTCTGATTGATTGATTGATTTGATTGATTGATTGATAGTTCAACTCCCTAGGACAGTGGTTCTCAACCTGTGGGTCGGGACCCCATTTGGGGTCGAACGACCATTTCACGGGGGTCGCCAAACAACGCAGTCCGCCATTTTTTTCCCCTTTTCCTTAGCTGTGCTACTCCCTTTTATTCTATTGGCTTTTGAAAGCCAATAGAATAGACTCTCTTGAATAGAGTCTAATTCTATTGGCTTTCAAAAGCCAATAGGAATTGTCAAGGCTGTCTCTGCCCTGCTGAGCCCGCCAAAAGTCCCATTCTGCAAACGGTGCTGCACCAGTTGAGTAGTCCTCGACTTACGACCGGTTGAGTAGTCCTCGACTTACGACCAGTTGGGGGTCGCGGCATTAAAAAGGTTGAGAACCACTGCCCTAGGAGATAATGTTCTTTTTGTTTTTTTTCCTCTCTGAGCTTGTCCAAGTGCTCAGGACTTTTGATGACTCTTCCTTCTCACCCAAGCTTTGGGGAGCCCTTCCAGATGGAGGATCATGAAGTGGAACTGAATGCTGGTATCCATTGGAGTTATCCAAGGACTTTGTTTGTTGGAGGGCCTTTCTCCTTAGGAGCAAGTTCCAAAGTCCTAGCACATGATGTTAGCTCATTGGGTCATGAAGCATCTGCAAGAAAGCCATAGTCGTCCTCCTCCCCACAAAGCCCCTCCCTTCTCGCACTGATGATGTTCCCTAGTTGGGTCATGAAACGTCTGCAAGAAAACCACCAAGTTCAGAGAGCACCGAGGACTCCATAATCATCCTCCTCCTCCTCCTCCTCCTCCTCCTCCTCCTCCTCCTCCTCCTCTTCTTCTTCCACAAACCACACTCCCTTATAGCACTGATGATGTTCCCTAGTTGGGTCATGAAACGTCTGCAAGAAAACCACCCAGCTCAGAGAGCACCAAGGACCCCACAGTCATTCTCCTCCTCATCCTCCTCTTCTCAACAAATCTTCCTCCCTCCCTCCCTTCTTTCCTCTTTCCTCCCTTGCTCTTTCCTTCCTTCCCTTCCTTCCTCTTCCCTTCCTCTCTCCCTCTCTGCCACCTCCTTCCCTCCCTTCCTCTTTCCTTCCCTTCCTCTCTGCCATCTCCTTCCTTCCTTCCTTCCTTCCTTCCTTCCTTCCTTCCTTCCTTCCTTCCTTCCTTCCTACCTACCTACCTACCTACCTACCTACCTACCCTCGCTCTCCTTTCCTTCCTCCCTCCCTCTCTCCCTCCCTCCCCACCTCCTTCCTTCCCTTCCTCGTTTTGCCAAACCTGACCTGTTAAATGAAAGCAATCTACTTGTATATTAAGATGCGTGTTGCTAGACCTGAGGGGCTTCTATAACATGCAGTTCCAAAAATCCAACTTTTTCAAAATATGAAGCAATGTCAGGAGAAAAGTCAAGCTCGGAAGGGTTGGAGTGGTGGGGTTTTTTGTCTTTTGAAGTGTGCAAGCTGCTCTGGCTTTTTTAGAATATGTTTAGGAATACAGTATTAATTGCTGCTTGTAGTGTTTCTCACCCTTTGCAACTTGACAAGGTGTGGGGCCAGCGTGGGGAATTCTGGAAGTTGGAAGTCCACACGTCTTAAAATGACCGATGTTGAGAAACACCAGTTTAGCTCTTTCTGAGTTAGCATTATTTCCCCCTCACGTCATGTCAGGGGTCTTCAAACTTGGCCCTTTTATGACTTGTGGACTTCGACTCCCAGAATTCCTTAGCCAGGCACGCTGGCTGAGGAATTCTGGGAGTTGAAGACCACACCTCTTAAAATGGCCGAGGTTGAGAAACACCAGTTTAGCTCTTTCTGAGTTAGCATTATTTCCCCCTCACATCATGTTAGGGGTCTTCAAACTTGGCTCTCTTATGACTTGTGGACTTCAACTCCCAGAATTAGCATTATTTCCCCCTCACGTCATGTCAGGGATCTTCCAACTTGGCCCCTTCATGACTTGTGGACTTCAACTCCCAGAATTCCTCAGCCAGTGTGCCTGGCTGAGGAATTCTGGGAGTTGAAGTCCACGCTTCTTAAAATGGCCGAGGTTGAGAAACACGGGTCTAGATGCTTTAAAGGAGCAATAATATCAAACTTGTTTGCACTTTATAAACTTGTAGAACCGGACAGAGCCACATAAACTGGTCCAGCTCCTTGACCAAATCAGATAAAACAAAGCTCAGAAAAAGGCTAAAAACAAAACAAAACAAAAAAACCACGGACACATTTTTGAAAGGTAATCCACAGATCGCTTTGCAGATAATATAATTTAGCATAATCATTAGATTATTACTCAAATAAAAACAGAAAATAACCTCCGGAGAACGAATATATATTAACCAGCTGCATTCTCTCTCACATATAGAAAAAAATGTTCAAATTAGCCATAACAATTATCTGTTCTTGTACAATATTATGGAATCGATACCAAAGGGAAACCTTGTGTCATATTTTGATGGGTAAGGGGAAAAAAAAGGCTTTTTGATCATTGATCAGTGACAGGCAGTCCTCGACTTACAACCACAATTGAGCCCAAAATTTCCGTGGCTAAACAAAACAGTTAGGTGCGATTTGCCCCATTTTACGACCTTTCTGGCCACAGTTGTTAAGTGGATCACCGCAGTTTTTAAGGGAATGTGTCTTCCCCATGGATTTTGCTTGTCTGTAGGGCACAACAGGGGATCACAAGTCCCCGGGACACTGCGACCGTCATAAATAGGAGCCCGTTGCCAAGCGTCTGAATTTTAGTCACGTGACCACGGGGAGGCTCCAACGGTCATAAGTGTGAAAAACGGTCGTAAGTCCCTTTTTTCAGGGCCGTTGTAATTTTGAATTATCACTAAATGAACCGTTGTAAGTCGAGGACTGCCTTTATAGGTTTCCTGAGTCCTCACCTTAACGTCTTAACTTAGATTTCCTTGATTGCAATCGTAAACGCTCTTCCTTCTTTAACTTTCTTTCTTTGTCCTGGAAAATAAAAATATGGATTCTTGTACTCTTCAAGTTTTTCACTGTACAAAAAGCACTCTGTGAAATAAAAACAGGAAAAAAAAGACAAATATTTCTGAGTGGTGTTTCATTGCCGCGTTCACACGACGTGTCTTGCCCCAAAGATACAGGTCCTACTCGATTCGTGATCATAATTGGGACCAGAATCTCGGTCACTAAGCAAGGTGGCTGTTAAGCAAGCTGCAGCCCAGTTTACAACGTTTTTGTTTGCCGCGGTCGTTAAACGAAACGCTACAGCCGTGAAGTGAACCCTGAGGTAGTTAAGTGAATCCAGCTTGGACTTTGCTTGTGGGAAGGTCGCAAATGGTGATCACGTGACCCCAGGATGGTGCAACGGTCGTAAATACGGGCCAAGAGTCCAGATTTAGACCACGGGGATACTACAACCGTCAAAAGTGTGAAGATCAGTTGTAAGTCACTTTTTTCAAGGGAATTGTAACTTTGAACGGTCGCTAAACGAATGGTTGTAAGACGAGGACTGCCTGTAAACCAAATTAGAGCTTCAGATGATGGCTTAATTCACACTTTGTTGAGCCCCCGGAATACCCAATGTGGTTGTAGTCTGGTTAGTTTAATAATAATTATCATCATTATCTGTGTGATGATTAATAATAATAATAATAATAAACCCTAATAAGACCTGGAGGAACGTTGTCCATGGGGTCACGATGGGTCGGACACGACTTCGCAATTAACAACAACAACAAATAATAATGATAATAATAATACAAAAGTTGGAAGGGACCTTGGAGGTCATCTAGTCCAACCCCCCTGCTCAGGTTTGTTGAACCCTTTCAGACAATAGACAGGCAGTCCTTGACTTACCACCACAATTGACTCCAAAATTTCTTGTTGTTAAGTGAGACATTTGTTGAGTGACATTTTGCCCTGTTTTACAACCTTTCTTGCCACAGTTGCTAAGTGAATCACGACAGTTGATAAGCGCAGTCGTTAAGCAAATCTGGCTTTCCCCGTTGACTTGGCTTGTTGGAAGCCCAGCTGGGAAGGTTACAAATGGTGGATCACGTGACCCCCCACGGCACACTGCAACTGTCATAAATACATGCCAGTTGCCAAACCTCTGAAATTTTGATCACGTGACCGTGGGGAAGCTGCAACGGTCATAAGTGTGAAAAAACGATCATAAGTCCCTTTTTTCAGCGCTGCTGTAACTTTGAACGGTCACTAAACAAATGGTTGTAAGTTGAGATTTCTTGTAATTGAATCCGAAACAAATGCAAGGCACTGGTTGTGATTGCACAAGACACACACACACACACCCCTAATCACAGTTAGCACCGTCTAAACCAGTGGTTCTCAACCTGTGGGTCGGGACCCCATTTGGGGTCGAACGACCATTTCATGGGGGTCGCCAAACAAGGTTGTCCACCATTTTTTCCCCCTTTTCTTTGGCCACGCCCCTGGCACCTGGTGATGTATAAGTGGTTGGGGGTCACCACAACATGGGGAACTGTATTATGGGGTCGTGGCATTAGAAAGGTTGAGAACCACTGGTCTAAACATAACATGTGTGAATGCAAGGACTGTATCACAAATTGACCTGACAAAGCAAGTTTATCTGTGGATGCGATATATTAAATTAGGGATGCATATCTGGATGCCATATATTAAATTTAATTAACATATTAAGGCATATTAAACTATGCCTAATCTTATCAAGTAGTCTTGGTGAAGGTCTATCATTGACCTGAGAAAGCATGTTTATCTGTGGATGCAACATATTAAATTAGGGATGCATATATATGGATGGCGTATATTAAATTAAATTAACATATTAAAAATATATTAAACTATACCTAACCTTATCAAGTTACTAGTCTTGGTGAAGGTCTACCATGGATGCTAAAATTCTGCCGTAAATCACAGCTCGAAACGCCCAGATTTCTTTAAAAAATATCTTCTTTTTATTTATTTTTCCTCACCTGGCACCGAAGGAAAAGAGAAGATAAAATTAGAGCATTGATTTCTAAAGGGACATCAGTCCTTCCAAGAGGGTGATTTTTTTTCTACCTCAAATCATATTGGATTTTTTTTTTTTAATTTGGAAGAAAAATTATTTTAAAATTTACTCCCGGTTTGCCCCTACTTATTGTGACAGCTCTTAACGTGTAAAGAGATCAGCGTAAATATTAACATTGGTATTTTTTATGCTCTCTTTGTTCCACTAAGTGCTTTCATTCTTTATTTCTTTAAGTGGTGTTTATAGCATGTCAGGAGCTATTGTCAGAAGCAACCTAGAACTCAGGAGAAACTTCCTGACAGTGAGAACAATTAACCAGTGGAACAACCTGCCTCCAGAAGCAGTAAATGCTCCAACACTGGAGGTTTTTAAGAAGAAACTGGACAGCCATTTATCCGAGATGGTATAGGGCAGTGGTTCTCAACCTTTTTAATGCCGCGACCCCCAACTGGTTGTAAATCGAGGACTACTCAACCGGTCGTAAGTCGAGGACTACTCAACTGGTGCAGCACCGTTTGCAGAATGGGACTTTTGGCAGGCTCAGCAGGGCAGAGACAGCCTGGACAATTCCTATTGGCTTTTGAAAGCCAATAGAATTAGACTCTATTCAAGAGAGTCTATTCTATTGGCTTTCAAAAGCCAATAGAATAAAAGGGAGTAGCACAGCTAAGGAAAAGGGGGAAAAAAATGGCGGACTGCGTTGTTTGGCCACCCCCGTGAAATGGTCGTTTGACCCCAAATGGGGTCCTGACCCACAGGTTGAGAACCACTGGTATAGGGTTTCCCGCCTGAGCAGGGGGTTGGACTAGATGACCTCCAAGGTCCCTTCCAACTTTATCGTTGTTGTTGTTGTTATTATTATTATTATTATTATTATTGAGAGATTTTGGTAGAGTTTGTCCCATTTTTTTCCAGCCATGAAAAAGGATTTACACTTATGTGTGTTTTTACCTTCATTCAACTTGAAAAGAAAATATTGAGTGAGTTTGTGTTATACATAGTCTGGATTCTTAGAGAGAGTGTAACTGGATTCACACAGTGTATTAATTAATTACAGGTAGTCCTCAACGTACGACCACAATTGAGCCCAAAATGTCTGCCGCTAAGCGAGGCAGTCGTTAAATGAGTCTTGCCCCATTTAACGACCTTTCTTGCTACAACTGTTAAATGAATCACTGCAGTTGTTAAGCTAGTCACACGGTTGTTAAGTGAATCTGGCTTCCCCCATTGAGTTTGCTCGTCAGAAGGTTGCAAAAGCGGATCACGTGATCTCGGGACACCGCGACCGTCATAAGTACGAGTCAGTTTGCCAAGCTTCTGAATGTTGATCACGTGACCACATCCGTAAGTGTGCGAAAAACAAGGACAGGTGACTTTCCCCCCAGTAAAATCGGGACACGACTCGCTTAACGACCGCTTTGCCTAACAACGGACGTTGCGGTCGTAAGTCGAGGACTGCCCTGTATTCTTAAGAGCTCCTTCTCTTGTCTGTTCCCCTTCATTCCGCCAGGTAATTCCGGATTGGAAAGAGCAGGAATGGTCCTCGGAAAAACCGCAAAGCTACGCCGGGATTTTCCATTTCCAGTTCTGGCGTTTTGGCCGGTGGATCGACGTGGTGATTGACGACCGCCTGCCGACGCTCCATAACCAACTCATCTACTGCCACTCCAACTCCAAGAACGAATTCTGGTGCGCCTTGGTGGAAAAAGCCTATGCGAAGTAAGGCGATCCGGATTCTTCTTCCTTTGCCCTGGCAAAAGGCCTACCCCGGCATAGAATTTCCTGCTTGGGGGCTGGACTAGATGACCTCCAAGGTCCCTTCCAACTTTACTATTATTATTATTATTTCTTGCAGTCTTCCAATCGGGTGAAAAAGATTTAGGCAGCGGCTGCCGTGATTGATAAATCACACATCAGTGAGGACGGGGCGTTTGGCTTATTTAGTTCCCCAGATTCTGCAGCTTAATTTCTTAGAATAGAATAGAGCTGGAAGGGACCTTGGAGGTCTTCTAGTCCAGCCCCCTGCTCAAGCAGGAAATCCTATACCAGGGGTAGGCAACCTTGGCTCTTTTATGATTCATGGACTTCAACTCCCAGAATTCCTGTGCCAGCATGGGGGAACTATGGCCCCCCATGACTGGTGGACTTCAACTCCCAGAATTCCTGAGCCAGCATGGGGGAATTACAGCCCCTTCATGACTCGTGGACTTCAACTCCCAGAATTCCTGAGCCAGCATGGGGGAATTACAGCCCCTTCATGACTCGTGGACTTCAACTCCCAGAATTCCTGAGCCAGCATGGGGGAACTATGGCCCCTTCATGACTTGGGGACTTCAACTCCCAGAATTCCTTAGTCAGCATAGGGGAACTACGGCCCCTTCATGATTCATGCACTTCAACTCCCAGAATTCCTGAGCCAGCATGGGGGAACTACGGCCCCTTCATGACTCGTGGATTTCAACTCCCAGAATTCCTGAGCCAGCATGGGGGAACTATGACGCGTTCGTGACTCGTGGACTTCAACTCCCAGAATTCCTGAGCCAGCATGGGGGAACTATGGCCTGTTCATGACTTGGGGACTTCAATTCCCAGAATTCCTGAGCCTAAGTTCGTGCCAGTTGCCAAGCGCCTGAATTTGGACCCCATGACCACGGGCATGGCGCAATGGTCGTAAGAGTGAGGAACGGTCATAAGTCGCTTTTTTTCAGTGAGGTGTAACTTCGAACAGTCATTAAATGAAACGTTATCAGGTAAAGGACTTGCCTGCATTGGGTTGAATTTTCCAATGGGAAAAAAATCTCTTTTCTTATTCCACCTGTTAGACTCTCAGGATGCTACGAAGCCTTGGATGGAGGCAACACGGGCGATGCCTTGGTGGATTTTACTGGTGGGGTCTCGGAGCCCATTGACCTGGTCGAAGGAGGCTACAGCAGTGACGAGGACAAACGAAACCTCCTTTTCGAGAGGGTGCTGAAGGTCCATAACCGAGGAGGCCTCATCAGCTGCTCCATCAAAGTAAGCAGGTCTTGTCAGTACAAAGAGCGAAGAAGAACTTCATTGATCTTTCTGGATCGAGGGGGGAAATTTTGAGATGGGCTTTAATAATAATAATAACAACAACAACAGTAGTAGTAGTAGTAGTAATAGGCGCCTTGGGTGCAATCCCAAAACAACCGGAGCACCACTTGAACACCATTGGCATTGACAAATTCTCTAATAGTCAATTGCAAAAGGCGGCCTTACTAGGAACTGCTTCCATCCTGCGACGATACCTGTAATACCATCAAACATCCACATCTGCCTATCCCAGGTCCTGGGTAAGGACTCGATAGGTAGACAAAATACCAAATCCAGTCTGAACATCTGGCTGACTGTGCGGTGATCCATAATAATAATTAATAATTTATAATAATATTGCCAAATCCAGTCTGAACATCTGGCTGACTGTGCGATGATTCATAATAATAATAATACTAATAAAGTTGGAAGGGACCTTGGAGGTCATCTAGTCCAACCCCCTGCTCAGGCAGGAAACCCTATACCATTTCAGAAAAATGGCTGTCCAGTCTCTTCTTTAAAACTTCCAGTGTTGGAGCATTCACCGCTTCTGGAGGCAGGTGGTTCCACTGGTTAATTGTTCTAACTGTCAGGAAGTTTCTCCTTAATTCTAGATTGCTTCTCTCCCTTGATGAGTTTCCATCCATTGCTTCTCGTCCTGCCTTCAGGCACTTTGGAGAATAGCTTGACTCCCTCTTCTTTGGGGCACCTTCCTCTTACTCTACCTCAGGGGTGGGGAACTATGGCCCTTTTATGACTTGTGACTTCAACTCCCAGAATTCCTGAGCCAGCCATGTTTTCAAAGATACTGGGGAAAAAAGGGACGGATGACGGTTTTTCACACTTAGGACCATTGCAGCATTCCTAAGGACATATGATCAAAATTCGGGTGTTTGACGACCGTTATGTATTTTTGACGGCTGCACTGTCCTGGGGTCATGTGATCCCCGTTGGCGAACTTGCCTGCCATAATACATAAATACATCCCAGCTGCTAAGCATCTGAAGTTTGATCACGTGACCCGGCGATGGTGCCGTGGTCAAAAGTCTGAAAAACGTTCCTAAATCACCTTTTTCTGTGCTGTTGTAATTTTGAATGGCCATCAGACCATTGTAAGTCAAGGATTATCTGTAGGTTCTCATTTGTCCCAAAGTTTTTGCTTTGACAGTGGGACAAGCAATATCTAAACTTGAATTGTTAGTTGAGGCTTGCAACTTTTTATATCTAAGGCAGGGGTCTTCAAACTTGGCCCTTGTATGACTTGTGGGCTTCAACTCCCAGAATTCCTTGCGTGGCTGGCTGAGGAATTCTGGGAGTTGAAGTCCACAAGTCTTAAAGTTGCCAAGTTTGACGACCCTTGCCCCAAATCGGGGATCTTCAAACTTGGCCCTTGTATGACTTGTGGGCTTCAACTCCCAGAATTCCTTGCGTGGCTGCTGAGGAATTCTGGGAGTTGAAGTCCACAAGTCTTAAAGTTGCCAAGTTTGACGACCCTTGCCCCAAATCGGGGATCTTCAAACTTGGCCCTTGTATGACTTGTGGGCTTCAACTCCCAGAATTCCTTGCGTGGCTGCTGAGGAATTCTGGGAGTTAAAGTCCACAAGTCTTAAAGTTGCCATGTTTGACGACCCTTGCCCCAAATCGGGGGTCTTCAAACCTGGCCCTTGTATGACTTGTGGGCTTCAACTCCCAGAATTCCTTGCGTGGCTGGCTGAGGAATTCTGGGAGTTGAAGTCCACAAGTCATACAAGGGCCAAGTTTGAAGACCCCTGTTCTAAGACCCTCCTTATCTCCCCATATTTCACCATCTTGATCATCCTTGTTGGAGATTCCTGACATGGGTCTCCGGATCAATTTTTAACTAGTTTCCCACCCTGAAACATCAAATTCATGTGTGCTCTTTCCAAGGCCGTGTCGGCTGCCGATATGGAAGCTCGGCTGGACTGTGGCCTGGTGAAAGGACATGCCTATGCGGTCACCGATGTCAGGAAAGTCCGCCTTGGCCACGGCTTGCTGGCCTTCTTCAAGTCCGAGAAGCTGGACATGATCCGGTTGAGGAACCCTTGGGGGGAGCGAGAGTGGAACGGCCCATGGAGTGACACGTAAGTTTGGCTGGGGTATCATCCATCCACAGGTGCATCTGATGTTATGTTTTCTTCTGTCTGATGCAGGCACAAAGGCAGGTTGGGGGACCTTGTTCTTGCTTATGAAGAAGATTCATTTTAATTTTGTCTATTTATAACCTGCCTTTAATATTTTTATAAACAACTCAAGGTGGAATATGTATCTAATATTCCTTCCTCTGCCTAATTTCCCTACAACAGCAACACTGTGAGGTGGGTTGGGATGAGAGAGAGACTAGTCCAAAGTCAATTAGCTGGCTTTCGTGACTTGGGTGGGTCTAGAACTCACCGTCTCCTAGTGATAGGCCCAAAGTTGCCCAGCTGTCTTTCATGCTTAAGGCGGGACTAGAACTCACCGTCTCCTGGTGATTGGCCCAAAGTCACCCAGCTGGCTTTCATGCTTAAGGTGGGACTAGAACTCGCCATCTCCTGGTGATTGGTCCAAAGTCACCCAGTTGTTTTTCATGCCTAAGGCTGGACTAGAATTCACCGTCTCCTGGTGATTGGCCCAAAGCCACCCAGCTGGCTTTCTTGCTTAAGACGGAACTAGAACTCACTGTCTCCTGGTGATTGGCCCAAAGTCACCGAGCTGGCTTTCATGCCTAAGGCGGGACTAGAACTCACCATCTTCTGGTGATTGGTCTAAAGCAGTGGTTCTCAACCTTTTTAATGCCGCAACCCCCAACTGGTCGTAAGTCGAGGACTACTCAACCGGTCGTAAGTCGAGGACTACTCAACTGGAGCAGCACCGTTTGCAGAATGGGATTTTGGCGGGCTCAGCAGGGCAGAGACAGCCTGGACAATTCCTATTGGCTTTGGAAAGCCAATAGAATTAGACTCTATTCAAGAGAGTCTATCCTATTGGCTTTCAAAAGCCAATGGAATAAAAGGGAGTAGCACAGCTAAGGAAAAGGGGGGAAAAAAGGGCGGACTGCGTTGTTTGGCGACCCCCGTGAAATGGTCGTTCGACCCCAGATGGGGTCCCCACCCACAGGTTGAGAACCACTGGTCTAAAGTCACCCAGCTGGCTTTCATGCCTAAAGCGAGATTAGAACTCCCCGTCTCCTGGTGATTGGCCCAAAGTCATCTTTTTCCCATGGTGTTAAGTGAATCACATGATCATTAAACCAATCGGGCTTCCCCAATTGATTTCGCTTGTTAGAAGCCAGTTGGGAAGATTGCAAATCACAACCAGGTCGCCCACAATTGTACTGCAACCATTGTCAATGCGAGTCCCTTACAACTTTTCTTATACCAGTTGTTAAGAGAACCACTTCAGTTGTTAAGTGAATTGTGATCACGAATGGTGATCTTATGACCTTGGGACACTGCAGCTGTCGTAAATACACGCCAGTTGCCAAGTGCCTGAATTTTGATGCCTTGATCTTGGTCGGGGGACGGTCATCAGTGACTTTTTTCATCGCCGTTGTTAACTTTGAACAGTTGCCAAACAAATGGCTGTAAGTCGAGGACTAAATGCAAAGGCTGGTTCCCAGAACGTAGAATTACTCACCTGTCCGTGAAGGTCCTCTGTGTTCTCCCCATTGCAAATCTTATTTTGCTTTCTCCAGCTCGGAGGAATGGCAGAAAGTCAGCAGCGGTGAACGGGAGAAACTAGGAATGACCGTGGACGATGATGGCGAGTTTTGGTGAGCATGTTGTGCAAATAAAATGAAAGGGGGTGATTTGGTGAATCCAGTCTAGGTCAGTGATGGCGAATCTTTTAGAGACCGAGTGCCCAAACTGCAAAGCAAAACCCACTTATGCATCGTCGGGTGCCGGGTGGGTGTGGCCCATTGGGTGGGTGTAGTCATTGGGTGGGTGTGGCCCATTGGGTGGGCGTGGCTGCGGTGGTAACGGCAGACTGGGTGGAACTAAAAAGTTCAATCAATCAATTCCAACTTTGCGAGATATTTTTTTTTTCCCCGCGAGAAGTTGAAATTGACTGATTGATTGAATCTTTTTTTTTTTTGCACACGGCAGTGGAGGCCTAAAGCGAAAAGGTTTTATAAAACCCAGCTGAAGGCCTAGGACTGGGGCGACGGCGCGCATGCCCACAGAGAGGGCTCTGAGTGCCACCTCTGGCACCCGTGCCATAGGTTCGCCACCACTGGCCTAGGTGATATACTAGTAAGGTGACCAATCGTCCTCCTATATTGAGGACAGTCCTTCTTTGGCACTCGTTTAAATAATAATTAATAGGCATGTAAGCATAATTACAATATAACATGTTATTGTTACAAATGTTTTTTTTTATTATGCATTTATCATATTATAGTGTATTCTGCATGGTTGGCAATAAATAAAATGTTTTATTTATGGTATTTTTTTCTTTAATTTATCGTGTCCTCCTCTTCATTGTAAAAAAGTTGGTCACCTTAATACTAGCAAAGGTTCCCACCATGAAGAGTAAAACGTTTTCCCCATGAAATTCTGCTTCTGCTTGACTTCATGGAGACATCCAGGATGTCCATCCGGGAGGACACATCTAGGGGTGAGGGGTGTCATAGTGCCTGAAAGCAGGATAAGAAACAACGGATGGAAACTAATCGAGGAGAGAAGCAACCTGGAATTAAGGAGAAACTTCCTGACAGTCAGGACAATTAACCAGTGGAACTGCTTGCTACCAGAAGTTGTGAATGCTCCAATACCGCAGGTTGTTAAGAAGATATTGGACAACCATTTGTCTGAAATGGTATAAGGTTTCCTGAAGAGACCTTGGAGGTCATCTAGTCCAACCCGTTGCTCAGGCAGGAAACCCTATACCAGTGGTTCTCAACCTTTTTGATGCCGTGACCCCCAATCGGTCGTAAGTCGAGGACTACTCAACTGGTCGTAAGTCGAGGACTACTCAACTGGTGCAGCACCGTTTGCAGAATGGGACTTTCGGCGGGCTCAGCAGGGCAGAGACAGCCTGGACAATTTCTATTGGCTTTTGAAAGCCAATAGAATTAGACTCTATTCCAGAGAGTCTATTCTATTGGCTTTCAAAAGCCAATAGAAGAAAAGGGAGTAGCACAGCTAAGGAAAAGGGGGAAAAAAATGGCGGACTGCGTTGTTTGGCGACCCCCGTGAAATGGTCGTTCGACCCCAAATGGGGTCCCGACCCACAGGTTGAGAACCACTGTCTTAGTGGAAGCATAGGAAAAACGTGTGTTTTCCTTCTGGGCCCACCGAAGAAGACAACTGAAAACAGCATCCACTTTGCGTAGCCGAGGAAAGAGGGCCAGAAAGAGAATAGAATAAGAAAAAGTGAGATGTTCCAGAACTGAGTGTCAGGTTCTCCTGTCCTAGGATGGCCTTTGATGACTTCTGTAGATACTTCACCGACATCATCAAATGCCGCCTGATCAACACGTCCTACCTGAGCATCCATAAGACGTGGGAAGAAGCCGTCTTGAAGGGCGCCTGGACGCGGCACGAAGACCCTTTGAAGAACCGCTGTGGAGGCTGTATCAACAACCGGGATACTTTCCTGCAAAACCCCCAGGTAGGAAAGTCAAGAGCAGGGGTCCTCAAACATGGCCCATTTTATGAGTTGTGGACTTCAACTCCCAGAGTTCCTCAGCCAAGCGTGCCTGGCTGAGGAAATCTGGGAGTTGAAGTCCACAAGTCATGAAGGGGCCATAGTTCCCCCATACTGGCTGAGGAATTCTGGGAGTTGAAGTCCACGAGTCATGAAGGGGCCATAGTTCTCCCATGCTGGCTGAGGAATTCTGGGAGTTGAAGTCCATAAGTCATGAAGGGGCCATAGTTCCCTCATGCTGGCTCAGGAATTCTGGGAGTTGAAGTCCACGAGTCATGAAGGGGCCATAGTTCCCCCATGCTGGCTCAGGAGTTCTGGGAGTTGAAGTCCACAAGTCACGAGGGGGCCATAGTTCCCCCATGCTGGCTGAGGAATTCTGGGAGTTGAAGTCCATAAGTCATGAAGGGGCCATAGTTCCCTCATGCTGGCTCAGGAATTCTGGGAGTTGAAGTCCACAAGTCACGAGGGGGCCATAGTTCCCTCATGCTGGCTCAGGAATTCTGGGAGTTGAAGTCCATAAGTCATGAAGGGGCCATAGTTCCCCCATGCTGGCTGAGGAATTCTGGGAGTTGAAGTCCATAAGTCACGAAGGGGCCATAGTTCCCCCATGCTGGCTGAGGAATTCTGGGAGTTGAAGTCCATAAGTCATGAAGGGGCCATAGTTCCCCCATGCTGGCTGGGGAATTCTGGGAGTTGAAGTCCACATATCCTAAAGTTGCTACAACAGTGTATTTCTATGTCCATGCAAAGAGATCTCCATTGTAGGTATAACTGAGATTTTGATTCTCTTTTCTTATCTTGGTTTCTTTTGTCGCTGTATTTTCTCGAGTTGCCTTTTTGTGGTGTCAAAACTATTTGATTGCAGGTTTTATTATTGAGAATTAACCGCTGCTTCACACACAAACCCTGCTCACAGGATTGCATTTGGGGCATTTGTCGTGTCACCACCATTTGCTATGTTTTTTTAACCTTTTCCAGTTGAAAGTGACCCCCCAAAAGCCTGTTGGATTCACTTAACGACCATGCGATTCACTTAACAAACTTGCTTTTCTCTTCTTGGTTTGCTCACCTGGCTGACTTTAGAAGGCCTGATCCTCTCTTTTTCACCCAGTATGTTTTCAATGTGAAGAAAGCAGAGGACGAAGTTTTGGTTTGCATCCAGCAAAAGCCCAAACGGACCAGCCAGAAGGAAGGGAAAGGAGAGAACCTCGCCATAGGATTTGACATCTTCAAGGTAAGCTGGGCAACCAACTTCTGATTAGATCTTTGGATGTGGCCAGAATGGACCCTTCTGATTTAACTGTAGAACAGTGTTTCTCCTCCTTGGCAGCGTGCAGATGGGTGGACTTCAACTCCCACAATTCCTCAGCCAGGAGTTGAAGTCCTCCCATCTTCAAGTCGCCAAGGTTGAGAAAGGTTGAGGATTCTGGGAGTTGAAATCCTCCAAGTTGTCAATGTTGAGAAAGGTTGAGGATTCTGGGAGTTGAAGTCCTCCAAGTTGTCAATGTTGAGAAAGGTTGAGGATTCTGGGAGTTGAAGTCCTCCCATCTTCAAGTCGCCAAGGTTGAGAAAAGTTGAGAAAGATTGAGAATTCTGGGAGTTGAAGTCTTCCCATCTTCAAGTCGCCAATGTTCAGAAAGGTTGAGAATTTGGGGAGTTGAAGTCCTCCAAGTCGTCAATATTGAGAAAGGTTGAGGATTCTGGGAGTTGAAGTCCTCCCATCTTTAAGTCGTCAAGGTTGAGAAAGGTTGAGAAAGGTTGAGGATTCTGGGAGTTGAAGTCTTCCCATCTTCAAGTCATCAAGGTTGAGAAACTTTAAGAAAGGTTGAGAATTCTGGGAGTTGAAGTCCTCCCATCTTCAAGTCGCCAAGGTTGAGAAAGGTTGAGGATTCTGGGAGTTGAAGTCCTCCAAGTTGTCAATGTTGAGAAAGGTTGAGGATTCTGGGAGTTGAAGTCCTCCCATCTTCAAGTCGTCAAGGTTGAGAAAGGTTGAGGATTCTGGGAGTTGAAGTCCTCCCATCTTCAAGTTGCCAAGGTTGAAAAAGGTTGAGAATTCTAGGAGTTGAAGTCCTCCCATCTTCAAGTTGCCAAGGTTGAGAAAGGTTGAGAATTCTAGGAGTTGAAGTCCTCCCATCTTCAAGTTGTCAAGGTTGAGAAAGGTTGAGAAAAGTTGAGAATTCTGGGAGTTGAAGTCCTCCCATCTTCAAGTCGCCAAGGTTGAGAAGGGTCGAGAAATCTGGGAGTTGAAGTTCTCCCATCTTCAAGTCGCCAAGGTTGAGAAAGGTTGAGAATTCTAGGAGTTGAAGTCTTCCCATCTTCAAGTCATGAGGGTTGAGAAAGTTTAAGAAAGGTTGAGAATTCTGGGAGTTGAAGTCCTCCCATCTTCAAGTCATCAAGGTTGAGAAACTTGAAGAAAGGTTGAGAATTCTGGGAGTTGAAGTCCTCCCATCTTCAAGTCGCCAAGGTTCAGAAAGGTTGAGAATCCTAGGAGTTGAAGTCCTCCCATCTTCAAGTGGTCAAGGTTGTGAAAGTTTGGGAAGGTTGAGAATTCTGGGAGTTGAAGTCCTCCCATCTTCAAGTCGCCAAGGTTGAGAAGGTTGAGAATTCTGTGAGTTGAAGTCCTCCCATCTTCAAGTCATCAAGGTTGAGAAAAGTTGAGAAAGGTTGAGGATTCTGGTTGTTGAAGTCCTCCCGTCCAAGTCGTCAAGGTTGAGAAACACTGTTGTAGTCCTTCTCCTAATTCCTTCCCTGAGTTTTTTTTTTTATTACACCCAGGTGGAACTCAACCGGACGTACCGAATGCACAGTTTACAGACCAAAGTTGCCGCCTCCGTCTACATCAATTCTCGTAGTGTCTTCCTGAGGACAGACCTGAAAGAAGGTCGCTATGTCATCATACCGACCACCTTCGATGCTGGCCACGTGGCCGAGTTCCTGCTCAGGCAGTTCACAGACGTGCCTTCTGAGTGCCAGTAAGGACCCGGGGGAGGGGGGGCTTCCCTCTGTCTTCCCTCCGAAAGAGGCTGGGGGGGAGCAGATCAGGGGAAACAAGGTAGAGATCATCTTTGGAATTCACTGCCTCATGATGCTTTGCTACCATCTGGGAGGCATTTGTCTTCTCTTTGCTTCCCTTCCCTTCCTATTCTCTTCCTTTTTTCCTTCCCTCCCTCCCTCCTTCCCTTCTTCCCTCTTCTCCTTTTCCTTTTCTTAGCTTCCTTCCCTCCCTTGCTCCCTCCTTCTCTCTCTCTCTCTCTCTCTCTCTCTTTCTTTCTTTCTTTCTCTTTCTTCCTTTCTTTTTCTTTTTTTCTTTTTCTTTCTTTCATTACCTACCTCCTTCCCTTCCTCCCTCCCTTCTTTCCTTCCTTCCTTCCTTTCTTTCTCCCTGTCCTTCTGTTCTTTCCTTCCTTTTGTCTTCTTTCTTCCTTCCTTCTTTCTTTTTCTTTCTTTTTCTTTCTTTCTTTCATTACCTACTTCCCTTCCTTCCTTCCTTCTTTCTCTTTCTTTCTTTCTTTCTTTCTTTCTTTCTTTCTTTCTTTCTTTCTTTTTCTTTCTTTCTTTCTCTTTCTTTCTTCTTTTCTCTTTCTTTTTTTTCTTTCTTTCTTTCTTTTTCTTTCTTTCTTTCTTTCTTTCTTTCTTTCTTTCTTTCTCTTTCTTCTTTTCTCTTTCTTTCTTTCTTCTTTCTTTCTTTCTTTCTTTCTTTCTTTCTTTCTTTTTCTTTCTTTCATTACCTATCTCCTTCCTTCCTTCCCTTCCTCCTTTCCTTCCCATTTCATGCAAGACAACTTTATACCTATGTATGAATATATTAACTTACTGTAGTGCTAAATTATACAATGAAACTTGGCCAGAAGTAGACTGTAGAAACTAGGGGGTGGGTGGGGGGAATGCATGGTGGTCAAAAAAAATCAAGATGATAGGCACAGGTTGTGCCCCATCATTTCAACTTTTTTTTTTACCTTCCTGTACATATCCCTGAGATGATACCACAAAGTTTGAAAATAATAATAGGGTTTTAGAACATCCGGATTTTGAAATATCAGTATGTTGGGAGGACATCAGGATACAGCTTCATGCATTCCCACAAGTTTGCAGCAGCTGAAATGTATAAATATAATTTATCAATAGCAATCAAGGTATGATTAACGCATGCTCAATATTGGTCAAGGACCTTCACAACATCCACACAACTGAATCAACTGCTTCTCCAAATTCACCTAAACCATGGGTAGGCAACCGTGGCTCTTTTATGACTCATGGACTTCAACTCCCGGAATTCCTGAGCCAGCCACGCTGAGGGGAAAGGGAGGTTTCCAAGCTGAGCCACGCAGGCTCAGGAATTCTGGGAGTTGAAGTCCACAAGTCATGAAGGGGCCAAAGTTTTCCCCATGCTGCCTCAGGAATTCTGGGAATTGAAGTCCATGAATCATGAAGGGGCCATAGTTCCCCCATGCTGGCTCAGGAATTCTGAGAGTTGAAGTCCCCAAGTCATGAAGGAGCCATAGTTCCCCCATGCTGCCTCAGGAATTCTGGGAGTTGAAGTCCACGAGTCATGAAGGAGCCATAGTTCCCCCATGCTGCCTCAGGAATTCTGGGAGTTGAAGTCCACGAGTCATGGAGGGGCCAAAGTTTCCCTCATGCTGGCTGAGAAATTCTGGGAGTTGAAGTCTACGAGTCATAAAAGTGCCAAGATTTCCTCCCCCTGACTTAAACTGTCAATGTGCAAACGTAGGTTTGGTTAGAGTTCGGATCAGCTGCAAAAAACTAACCAGGGTAAAAACTCTTCCGGTTGTACGAATGCAGTCACTAGGTCTTCCCTTGATCTGGTTGCGCATGTTGTGTGAAGCCCACCGTGTAACCCCCTTTGCATTTTACGGTTTCTTGTCTTGCTTAGCTACACTTCAGAGCAGTTTTTCTTTTTGATTGTGTATGTGTGAAGATGGACCAGTGTGGCTCCTTGTTTGAAAGAAGGTCCTTTTCCTGATCTTCAAAATATCTGATGTCTCTTGGGTTTTTCATCTTCTTTTCCCAGAGAACTGACCTTGGACGAGCCCCCTCACACCTGCTGGAGTGGAATATGTGGCTATCCCCAATTGGTGTCCCAGGTCCACGTCATCTCGGCTTCCGGCCTCAAGAACCATGGCTCCGAAGAAGGTGCCAATACTAGTTACAATCCAATCACGGTCAAAGAGAAGGGAAATCAGGAAACAAGTTTCTTCTTCTAAGTCAGTGTTTCTCAACCTTGGTGACTTGAAGATGGATGGACTTCAACTCCCAGAATTCCTCAGCCAGCACAGCAAGTCACCAAGGTTGAGAAAGGTTGAGAATTCTGGGAGTTGAAGTCCTCCTATCTTCAAGTGGTCAAGGTTGAGAAAGGTTGAGAATTCTGGGAGTTGAAGTCCTCCCATCTTCAAGTCACCAAGTTTGAAGAAGGTTGAGAATTCTGGGAGTTGAAGTCCTCCCATCTTCAGGTCACCAAGTTTGAAGAAGGTTGAAAATTCTGAGAGTTGAAGTCCTCCCATCTTCAAGTCACCAAGGTTGAGAAAGGTTGAGAATTCTGGGAGTTGAAGTCCTCCCATCTTCAAGTCACCAAGTTTGAAGAAGGTTGAGAATTCTGGGAGTTGAAGTCCTCCCATCTTCAGGTCACCAAGTTTGAAGAAGGTTGAAAATTCTGAGAGTTGAAGTCCTCCCATCTTCAAGTCACCAAGGTTGAGAAAGGTTGAGAATTCTGGGAGTTGAAGTCCTCCCATCTTCAGGTCACCAAGGTTGAGAAAGGTTGAGAATTCTGGGAGTTGAAGTCCTCCCATCTTTAAGTGGTCAACCCCGAGCTACAAATATTCTTTTATGTTGGTGGAATTTCTCCTTCACCTCTATGTTCCTTCTAGTAGTAGAAGAAGCTTGGTCCAAGGTCAGACAGAGGTATTTGGAGGATTTGGGAAACAATCGAATTTTAAGGAAGGAATTGTAAGAATCAAGAAGACAGGATAGTCTTACTTAAGGGGAACAGGAAACAAGGGGTGACAGTTCCTTTTGTTTCCCTCGTGCCACAGGCGTGGATCCCTATGTGATCATAAAGTGTGAAGGGGAGAAAGTCCAATCACCAGTCCTGAAGAACACTCTGACGCCAGAATTTGATGTAAAAGGACTTTTCTACCGCAAGAAACCAGGGAAGCCGGTCATAATTCAGGTAAAGTTGAAAGAGTCACTTTGGCCAGCGAGAGGAGCGACATATAAATAAGAATAGAATAGAATAGAATAGAATAGAATAGAATAGAATAGAATAGAATAGAATAGAATAGAATAGAATAGAATAGAATAGAATAGAATAGAATAGAATAGAATAGAATATATGGGGATAGTGATGAGGATAGGATAGGATATGATAGGATAGGAAAGGAAAGGAAAGGAATAGAATAGAATAGAATAGAATAGAATAGAATAGAATAGAATAGAATAGAATAGAATAGAATAGAATAGAATAGAATATATGGGGATAGTGATGAGAATAGGATAGGATAGGAAAGGAATGGAATAGAGTAGAGTAGAGTAGAGTAGAATAGAATAGAGTAGAGTAGAATAGAGTAGAATAGAATAGAAATAATGAAATGAAATGAAATAATAGTCCTAGGCTGCATCAACAGACGGATAGAATCAAGATCATGTGAACTGTTAGTACTGCTTTATAAAGCCTTAGTAAGGTCACACTTGGAACATTGCATCCAATTTTGGTCACCATATTGTAAAAAAGATGTTGAGACTCTAGAACAGTGGTTCTCAACCTTTTTAATGCCGCGACCCCAACTGGTCGTAATTCGAGGACTACCCAACCGGTCGTAAGTTGAGGACTACCCAACCGGTCGTAAGTCGAGGACTTTCCCTGCCCGGGAGCGCCACGCATGCGCAGTGCCGCCCCCTGTGCCGGCCGAGGCGTAGCTGGCAAGCGGCAGCGAGGGCGCAGGGCAACCACCGTCTGGGCCACCAGCTGGCCCAGCCCAAGGGAGGTAAGGCACCCACCAGGACCCACGCGCGCCAGCAACCCTCCCTGTGCCCGCCGGCCTCCCACCTCCCACCCCTGGACCTCTTTTCCTTACATTTTTAGTAGTTGCTCAGCAGGGAGGGGTGGAAGCTTCCAGACAGCTCGCCTTCACTGCAGACAACTTGCAGCACCGTTTGCAGAATGGGACTTTTGGCGGGCTCAGCAGGGCAGAGACAGCCTGGACAATTCCTATTGGCTTTAGAAAGCCAATAGAATTAGACTCTGTTCAAGAGAGTCTATTCTATTGGCTTTCAAAAGCCAGTAGAATAAAAGGGAGTAGCACAGCTAAGGAAAAGGGGGGAAAAAATGGCGGACTGCCTTGTTTGGCGACCCCCGTGAAATGTCGTTCGACCCCAAATGGGGCCCCGACCCACAGGTTGAGAACCACTGCTCTAGAAAGAGTGCAGATGAGAGCAATACAGATGATTAAGGGACCAGAGGCTAAAACATATAAAGAATGGTTGCAGGAATTGAGTATGTCTAGTTTAATGAAGAGTGACAGGATTGCAGTGTGGGAACCGCCACAAACAAGAGGGGGGGGGTCAAGCTATTCTCCAAAGCCCCTGAAGGCAGGACAAGAAGCAACGGATGGAAGCTCATCAAGGAGAGAAGCAACCTGGAACTAAGGAGAAACTTCCTGACAGTGAGAACAATCAACCAGTGGAACGACTTACCTCCAGAAGTAGAGGTGCTCCATCACCGGAGGTTTTTAAGAAGAGACTGAGCAGCCACTTGTCTTTCCTATTTAATTGCACTTAATAATAATAAAGTTGGAAGGGACCTTGGAGGTCATCTAGTCTAGTCCAACTCTCTGCTCAGGCAGGAAACCTTATACCGTTTCAGACCAATGGCTGTCCAGTCTCTTCTTAAAGACTTCCAGTGTTGGAGCATTCACCGCTTCTGGAGGCAGGTGGTTCCACCGGTTAATTGTCCTCACTGTCAGGAAATTTCTCCTTAGTTCCAGGTTGCTTCTCTCTTTGATTAGTTTCCATCCGTTGCTTCTTGTCCTGCCTTCAGGCGCCTTGGAGAATAGCTTGACTCCCTCTTCTTTGGGGCACTTTTCTCTTACTCTACCTCAGGGATGGGGAACTATGACCCTTTTATGACTTGTGACTTCAACTCCAGTGTTGGAGCATTCACCGCTTCTGGAGGCAGGTTGTTCCTGCAGGGGGTTGGACTAGAAGACCTCCAAGGTCCTTTTCCAACGGTGTTATTCTGTTATTGCTTGCCTGAACTTCCTTCCTCTCTCTCTCTCCATCCAGATCTGGAACCACAACCTGATCACAGATGAGTTTCTGGGTGAAGTCGCCATGGCCGGAGACCCCAACGAGCTTCACCCTTTGCACATTCTCCACCTCCAAGAGCGAGGGAACAAACGGGTTTCGGAATTGCCCGGCGTTCTTAAGGTTCAGTTGCTGAGTAGCAACGTTCTCACTAGCATCTGAGACACACGAGGTGGTGGTGGTGGTGGCCTTTTCTGCTCTTCCCCATCTTCCATTATTCCTCTAAGTGTGTCTCTCTTTGTGTGCCCGTCCGTGTCTCCATACTGTGCATGCCTTCACTTTGGAAACGGGACCAGCCCTTCTAAGTTCAGCCTGGTTTGGTTTTGGTTTTTTTTCCACAATTTGACACAAAAGGTGCCTTTTTTCAAAGAAGCCAAAATGCGGTGTTTTGCTTCAGTTTTTTTTTTTTTTTTAAAAAAGAGAGAAACTGGGACATTCTCTGTCAAGGTCAGTTTGTTCAGAGAAACATCCAAGCCGACACTCTGGGCAAACACGGTGAGACCGGTTGTTTACACGGAAAGACACAACTCTTCTCCACGCACAGGCGTATGGCTGGCCTGTGAGTCTCTTCTCGCTGTTTGCCAAAACGGCACCTTCTTAAACCGATGCCACCGTGGGTGCCGCCGACATCTTGAGAACAAAGATTGGGAACGAGAGATGGACTGCCGCATCGGAACATCATGTGTGATATTTGTGTGGCGCTGTTGCGCCTCTGCAGGGATTGTGTAATATCTAAAGTTAGGCCTGGAAGTCTCTACAGCTTAGCTTGCCTTACATTAACCATTCCAGTCCTTAAAATCTCTTCTGTCATCCTTTTGATTTCAGCAGGGCTTCAACAAGAGTTTGATTTTTAACAAGGATTGCTTTCGTGTTCCTAGGTTTTTATAAGACATTTTTATAAAATAAACCATGAGGTCGAGTGTTTCAGAAGCTGGATCTCATCTCCAGAATCCTATAGAACAGTGTTTCTCAACCTCAGCAACTTTTAAGCCGTGTGGACTTCAACTCCCAGAATTCCCCAGCCAGCCAATTCTGGGAATTGAAGTCAACATGGCTTATACGACTGAAATGCCATAGATTTATGATTCACCCACAACCAGTAGATCAGGGGTCTTCAAACTGGGCAACTTTAAGACTTGTGGACTTCAACTCCCAGAATTTCTCAGCCAGGCATGCTGGCTGAGGAATTCTGGGAGTTGAAGTCCACAAGTCATGAAGGGGCCATAGTTCCCCCATGCTGGCTCAGGAATTCTGGGAGTTGAAGTCCACAAGTCATGAAGGGGCCATAGTTCCCCCGTGCTGGGTCAGGAATTCTGGGAGTTGAAGTCCCCAAGTCATGGAGCCATAGTTCCCCCATGCTGGCTCAGGAATTCTGGGAGTTGAAGTCCCCAAGTCATGGAGCCATAGTTCCCCCATGCTGGCTGAGGAATTTTGGGAGTTGAAGTCCTCAAGTCATGAAGGAGCCATAGTTCCCCCATGCTGGCTGAGGAATTCTGGGAGTTGAAGTCCACAAGTCTTAAAGTTTGCCAAGTTTGAAGACCCCTGCAGTAGATCTTTCCAACTCACCATAAGTCCTTGAAACAGAGCAGGGAAAAACATATCTAAATAACAGTATTGCAATAAGGAACCATTTTTCCAAATCAGATGTCTTCCCCCACTGTTAAATTCCCACTCCCGTTTGTAAGTCTCTGGTTGCAGAATGGGAAAGTAAAACGATTTGACTTTGTGCCATATTTTTCAGAGTATTTTCCACAGGCGCCACAGAACATTTTTGAGTGCCACAGAAGTGCCATTGGCTTCCTGGTTTGTTGGTTTGTTTTTTTAATTCTTCCTGTAGAAATTTCCCATGTAAAAGAACAGAAGAGTTTTAAAAAGTTAGCTGAAATTTCTGTCAGGGAACAGGCTTTATCCGTAGCAGTGTTCGAGATGGAATGGGACAATTCATCCTGGCTGACTCGCCCCAGTTATCTTGCTGCAGCTGACTCTCCACGGACAACTTAACACAAGACAATTCAATGCTGTATAACTGTCAGATGCTGGGGAAATCAGTTCAAATGAGTATAAAGATTTATGGCAAGCTGAAGCGCTCTACAATAGAGGTCCCCAATCTTTCTGGGTTGGTGGGCCAGAGGGAAAGGGAGGGGCAGGCAGCGTTATACACAGACACACAAACAAGGCCACGAGTGTCCACCGGCCTCATTTGATCTCCCTATTGACCAGGGGTCTTCAAACTTGGCAATTTTAAGACTTGTGGACTTCAACTCCCAGAATTCCTCAGCCAGGCATGCTGGCTGAGGAATTCTGGGAGTTGAAGTCCACAAGTCTTAAAATTGCCAAGTTTGAAGACCCCCTGCTGTAGAGAAATAAGCTTTTACAAGAGACCACAACGTTCAAAGTCCTGTGTTTTGCCAAAAATCAAAAGTGTTTCCAGTTGTTTTGTTTTATCCTCCTTTAAAAGACCAATGAATGCTTAATATTGTAGTAAAATTAAAATCGCAGCAATTACAGATCAATAACAAGAATTCGGACTAGGGCAGTTGTGCTGTTTGTAAAACCGCAACTATTCGCTTGTTTTCCACCATCCTAAGAAACCCACCATCCTCCTATGATCCTGGGCTTGTTTCAAGTATGGTCCACACTCCTTATTCCTTTTGTGTATCACATCTTCACAAATAAATCTACCCGGGAAATTGTGGTCAACTTACAACCACAATTGAGGCTGACACTTTCATTGCTAAGCAAGATCCTGGTTGAGTGAATTTTGCCTCGTTTGACAACCTTTCTTGCCACAGTCGTTAAGCAAATCACTGCAGTTGTTAAGTTAGTGACATGGTTGTTAAGTGAATCTGGCTTCCCTCCCATTGACTTTGCTTGTCAGAAGGTCGCAAAAGCGGATAACGCAACCCCAGGACACTGCAACTGTCACAAGTACATGTCAGTTTCCAAGCCTCTGAATTTTGATCACGTGACCCTGGGGATGCTGCAACAATCGTTAAGTGTGAAAAACAATCATGTCACTATTTTCCATGCTGTTGTAAGTTTGAATGGTCACTAAACGAACGGTTGTAAGTCGAGAACCACAATTTATCCACAAGGAAATTCTTCTCACTGTTTTTTCTGCTCTGCTGTTTCTTTTTCCAAAAATCGGATAGTTGTTTAATCTTCTGTTTATTTCCGTCTTCTCAAATCTTCGCGTAAACCCATCCATCCCCTTTTAAAATTCCAAATTGTGGATCAAACAACTGGTACCCTCAATGGGAAGGTTGCGTCCCTTTTACTGTGTGTTAATGTTACGCACCATTTTATGACATTCATTGAATTCTTTATAATAGCAACTTTTAGGGTAGGTGGACTTCAACTCCCAGCATTCCCAGTCAGCATCCTTGCTAGGGAATGCTGGGAGTTGAAGTCCGTAGGTGTCAGCTGCGGAATTACGGGAGTTAAAAGACCACACAACCTAAAAGTGCTAAAACTCTGCTTTTCAATACATCTGTTTTTGTATCTTTTGTTTTGTTTTGTGGTTTGTCACATTGTGTGTCTTTTTTGAATGCGTAGCCTGCATTTTCCTTCCTTGCATTTCTAATACCTTGAAGGAAAGATGACTTGGGAATTGATTGTCCTTGAAATTATGATGTCAGATAAAACTGAAGAGCTTTGATTTCTGATTTCGCTGGTTCTGTCAGCCATTTTATAAGTTGGGTCATCAACCTTGGCCATTTTATGACTTGTGGACTTCAACTCCCAGAATTCCTCAGCCAGGCACGCCTGGCTGAGGAATTCTGGGAGTTGAAGTCCACAAGTCATAAAAGGGGCCAAGTTTGAAAGCCCCTGTTATAGGTTATAAGTCTTTTGTCACTTGCACTTTATTCAATGGATGCTTCGTGAAATATATGAATGCAGATTTGGGGGAGAACCTCTTGATTATGTGGGATTTTAAAAGCATTGAAATAAGCTGGCTGTACGAGATTTGTAATTAAAAGCCAAAACAGAACCAACTCTTGGACTGTTAATAATTGTTTAGTTTTGACTGCCATTTATGTATGACCTCCTTTTCAGGAATCTGTGCCTCATTATTTTTTTTTTTAACCTGTATTGAAAGTCGCTGCGAAGAGTGGGAATAAGAAAATAAATATGTTTGTATGAAAGATTGGGTAGAAATTGTAAAAAAAATATTAAAAAATGAAAGAGCAGGGCTCGGCCAAACAAAACCATAGACACACACCAGTTTTGGAGCCTTCTTGGTGATTGAATTATAATTATTTTGAATTATAATTTTCAAAATAATTATGATTATTTTAACAGACTATAACAGAATAACAGTTGGAAAGGACCTTGGAGGTCATCTAGGCCAACCCCCTGCTCAGGCAGGAAACCCTATACCATTTCAGACAAATGGCTGTCCAGTCTCTTCTTAAAAACTTCCAGTGTTGGTGCATTCACCGCTTCTGGAGGCAGGCAGTTCCACTGGTTAATTGTTCTAACTGTTGGGAAGTTTCTCCTTAGTTCCAGTTGCTTCTCTCCTTGATCAGTTTCCATCCATTGCTTCTTGTCCTGCCTTCAGGCGCTTTGGAGAATAGCTTGACTCCCTCTTCTTTGGGGCAGCCCCTGAGATATTGGAAGACTGCTATCACGTCCCCCCTCGTCCTTCTCTTCATTAAACTAGACATACCCAATTCCAGCAGCCGTTCTTCATATGTTTTACCTTCCAACCCCACAATCATCTTGGTTGTTTTTCTTTGCACTCTTTCTAGAGTCTCAACATCTTTTTTATATCATGGTGACCAAAACTGGATGCAGTAATCCAGATGTGGACTTAGCAAGGCACTTCACGTGATTAATAAATTCAAAATATTTCAAATAGGAATTATTTGAGCCTTTGTACGATGCTACAATTGTGCTTCTTTTTTTGCTGAGAATAAGATCGGTATTTCCGACAGCCATACCTTCATTCTTCCCTCCTTGCCTCAAGAATGGGGATATTGAAATCAGCAAGTGTGGTGTCGAAGCACATCTGGAGAGCACCAGGGAGAAGAAGGGTACACTACGAAAAGCAGAAAGCTGGTTTTGAAAACAGCTGCATTGGCACAAAATTTCTCAAGTCAAAAACCCCCAGGAGGGTTGGGAACCTCTTAACAATGAAGCAGTGGAGATGTATTCTGCACTGTTTGATTAAGAATTAAAAATTGGCTTAATATTCATTCCCAATTAAGAATAACTTGCTGCTTGCGACCACCAGGTGGCGCTGACACTTTGAATTTGAAAAATTCTTCCAATTCTATTCTTGCCTAGGACCTAGGTGGTCCTTGACTTACAACATAATTGAGCCTGGAATGACAGTTGTTAAACGAGTCACTGCATGGCTTTGCCTGATTTTTCAATCTTAATTGCAGCTGGTGAACTGATTTTCACCAATGGGCATTTTTTCCCCCAGAAAGTGGAAATCCACACCAGAAATCAGCAAAAACTGCTGAAAATTGTAGTCATATAACTGCGGGATACTGCAAACAGCCGTAAAGTTGATTGCCGAGTGCCCAAGATATAATCCTGTGACCCCAGGGGTAGTCATAAGTTGTTGTTTTTTATAATATTTTATTAATTTTCTCATTTTACAATTGGATATTTAAAAAGCAACGTGATGACTGGGTTAATCCATAGTTCAATAGTGTACATCAATCTTGAGTATAAATGTCATAACATCAAATATTTCCTCTCCTTTTCCATTAATATCTGTTATCTCATATTGGGCTAGTATAATTCTTATTGTTATCAACTAAATAAAAACATCTTTGTTATAGTTATCAATATTTTTTAGCTTTTACATATCTTAATTGTGTTTGCACTTAATCCTTGTATACAAACAATATCCTGTTTTTTTTTCCAGGCTTTAATTTCCCATCAATATTCAAAGTAACACTATTATTTATGATTTCCAAGTATTTTATATTTATATTTAGGTGACCAGAAGTTTCCCATATCTCGACTTCTCCCTTTTTCCCCTTTTCATACCAAAGTTTGGTTACACATCTTATCTATTTAATAATAATAATAGTAGTAAAGTTGGAAGGGACCTTGGAGGTCATCTAGTCCAACCCCCTGCTCGGGCAGGAAACCCTACACCATTTCGGACAAATGGCTGTCCAGTCTCTTCTTAAAAACTATATTTGTTTATAATAAGTTGAGGACTACCTGCCCAGGGCTACTTAGGACCCCCCTTTTTTTTTAACAAAATTTTATTAAATTTATATAGGTAAGGAAAAACAGGAAGAATACAGGTATGGTAAAGGGAAGGGTAAAAGGAAAGGGGGAGGGGAAGGAAATAAGGGATTAGGGTAAAATAAGGATAGGTACAATCACATATTTCAACAAACAAGCAACCGTCCGGTTCATAATAATGAGTATCATATTCAACCATTTTTAACAAAGCTTAAACTGCAACATATTAAAAATAATTAGTAAACAAATACGTTGATCTATTAAGTAAACACTAATAAAATCACAATAACATAAAAAAAAAATCCTAACAATCAAAAGTAACAAATGAAAATCAGTAAATCAGGAAAAGTAATCGTATCATCAAAATGTTAGATAGAACTCGATTAAAAATCAGTCATCTAGGACCCATTTTTGATCTGCGGCCATGAGAACTACAAAAATGGGTCCTAAGTAGCCTTGGGCAAATTCGTCGTAACTTTGAATCATTGTTAAGCAAGGACTACATGTAAGTTTGACTATCTTGACCTCGTACAGGTAATCCTCAACTTACGTCTATAACTGATCCCAAAATTTCGATAGCTAAGCGAGACAGTTTGTTAAGTGAGTTTTGCCCCATACCTGTAATGTGATGGATGCTCCATTGCTGGAGGTTTTCAAAAATACTGGATGATCATTTGACCAGGATGATACGTAAAGTCTCCTACTTTGAGCAGCTGGTTGGACTAGAGGACCTCTGAGGTCCCTCCCAGCCCTACCATTCTTTGTTCTATGATTCTATGTTCTAATACCCCTTCCTCCTATTTTCCCCACAATAACAACCCTGTGAGGTAGGTTGGGCTGAGAGAAAGGAACTGGCCCAAAGGCACCCAGCTGGCTTTCATGCCTAAGGCAGCACTAGAACTCACTGTCTCCTGGTGATTGACCCAGAGTCACCCAGCTAATTTTCATAGCTAAGGCAGGACTAGAATTCGCCGTCTCCTGGTGATTGGCCCAAAGTCACCCAGCTAATTTTCATAGCTAAGGCAGCACTAGAACTCACCGTCTCCTGGTGATTGGCCCAAAGTCACCCAGCTGGCTTTCATGCCTGAGGCAGCACTAGAACTCACAGTCTCCTGGTGATTGGCCCAAAGTCACCCAGCTGGCTTTCATGCCTGAGGCAGAACTAGAACTCACAGTCTCCTGGTGATTGACCCAGAGTCACCCAGCTAATTTTCATAGCTAAGGCAGCACTAGAACTCACTGTCTCCTGGTGATTGGCCCAAAGTCACCCAGCTGGATATCATGCCTAAGGCAGAACTAGAACTCACGGTCTTCTGGTGATTGGCGCAAAGTCACCCAGCCGGCTTTCATGGCTAAGGCAGAACTAGAACTCATGGTTTCCTGGTGATCGGCTCAAAGTCACCCAGCTGGATATCATGGCTAAGGCAGCACTAGAATTCACCGTCTCCTGGTGATTGGCCCAAAGGCACCCAGCTGGATATCATGGCTAAGGAAAGACTAGAACTCACCGTCTCCTGGTGATTGGCCCAAAGGCACCCAGCTGGCTTTCATGGCTAAGGCAGGACTAGAACTCCCGGTCTCCTGGTAATTGGCGCAAAGTCCCCCAGCTGGCTTTGTGTGTGTGTGTGTGTGTGTGACTTGAACTCCCGGTCTCCCGTTTTCTGTCTCGGGGCCTCAACCGTTAGACCAAAGTGGCTCCTTCCGCAAAGCTGGCATCTGCTTCCTTTGTGGGTTGTTCTCCGAGGGCGCCCTGAACTCCTCCCCTCTGATCAGGATCCGCCTGGCATGAATGGGAGACCATCGAAGCGAAACAGGTGCTGAATGCCAACGGGGAGTGGAAAGGACCTGGGCAGGACGCAGGAAAGGAGACGGGAGCGATGCCTTTGTTTCCTCTCTGGGCCACAGCTGCTACCTTTTGCTTGGGTCCTGCCCTGGCTGATTCCTGAGCCTGCTTTGAAAGAATCCCCCCCAAAAGAATCCCAAATCTGAGTGAAAAAGGCAAATTACATCGGTCACTAAGGTAAGGAGATGGCAGAGGTGGGCCATTCCAGCTGCTGGGAGATTCCATTTTAATTCACGGGCATTTGCTCAAAAGCCTTTGGATTTGGTCACTTCCTAACAGCTTTTGCTGATTTCTTCAGCCCGGCTGGATATTGAAGCTATTTTTGGACATACTTCGCTGGGGATGGAGGGGAAGGGGGTGGGCTCCAGTGAAAAAGACAATTTCCAAAAGAAAAAGAACTTTATTTTAAACCCCGGGATGCCTTGCGCACGACCTATTCAGAGGTCTGAAAGGAAGAGTTCCTACCCACGATCGCCTCTTACGATTAATCTCAAATGAATGGCATCCAAATAGATGAATCTGGTGAGTTTTTTCTTAGCAGGTTCCCAGGCCCCCTGAATTTGCAGCTTTTTTTCTTTCTTTCTTGAATTTGCAAAGCTTTTAGGAATGTGCAGAGTGAAGACATGTGCTTTGTTTTCAAAGGATGCCAGCATCTTTTGTGGCAGGCATCAACAAGGTCTAGCCTCTTAGATGGAATAAAGGTGAACCTGGTTTTTTTTTTTTTTGAGTGAGGATCTGTGATGTGCAGAATTTCCTTCCTTTCCTTCCTTTCCTTCCTTCTTTCTTCCTTCCTGCTTTCTTTCCTTCCTTTCTTTCCTGTTGTTTTGAGTGAGGATCTGTGATCTGCAGAATTTCCTTCCTTCCTTCCTTTCTGCTTCCTTCTTCCTTCCTTCCTTCTTTCTTCCTTCCTGCCTTCCTTCCTTCCTTTCTTCCCCGTTTTTTTGAGTGAGGATCTGTGATGTGCAGAATTTCCTTCCTTCCTTCCTTCCTTCCTTCTTTCTTCCTTCCTGCTTTCTTTCCTTCCTTTCTTTCCTGTTGTTTTGAGTGAGGATCTGTGATCTGCAGAATTTCCTTCCTTCCTTCCTTTCTGCTTCCTTCTTCCTTCCTTCCTTCTTTCTTCCTTCCTGCCTTCCTTCCTTCCTTTCTTCCCCGTTTTTTTGAGTGAGGATCTGTGATGTGCAGAATTTCCTTCCTTCCTTCCTTCCTTCCTTCCTTCCTTCCTTCCTTCCTTCCTGCCTGCCTGCCTGCCTTCCTTCTTTCCTGCCTTCCTGCCTTCCTTCTTTCTTCCTTCCTGCCTTCCTTCTTCCTTCCTTCCTTCCTTCCTTCCTTCCTTCCTTCCTTCTTTCCTGCCTTCCTTCCTTCTTTCTTCCTTCCTTCCTTCCATCCATCCTTCCTTCCTTCCTTCCTTCCTTCCTTCCTTCCTTCCTTCCTTCCTTCCTTCCTTTCTTCTCTGTTTTTTTGAGTGAGGATCTGTGATGTGCAGAATTTCCTTCCTTCCTTCCTTTCTCCCTGTCCTGTTCCTTCCTTCCTTTTGTCTTCCTTCCTTCCTTCCTCCCTGTCCTGTCCTGTTCCTTCCTTCCTTTTGTCTTCTTCCTTCCTTCCTTCCTTCCTTCCTTCCTTCCTTCCTTCCTTCTTTCCTTCCTTCCTTTCTCTCTATCCTTCTGTTCCTTCCTTCCTTTTGTCTTCCTTCCTTCCTTCCTTCCTTCCTTCCTTCCTTCCTTCCTTCCTTCCTTCCTTCCTTCCTTCTTTCTTTCTTTCTTTCTTTCTTTCTTTCTTTCTTTCTTTCTTTCTCCAGCCATCTCAGTAAATGACTCTAGCCAAGTATTTATTATATAAAAAGTACTTAACTAGTTAAGGGACTAAGTGATGCTTTCAGGCTGCTGAAAACTCAGTGTCCACTTGCAATGATTTGACTGCTGTCATACTAACTAAGCCAGCATTTGCTGATAATAAGCCAGAATCCACTGCTAACTCATATGCTAAGCCCCAAGACCTGGCTTCTAAATCACGATGTCTGAGTTTGCCTAAAACGTTAAGCCCCAAACTTCAAATAGATTATGGCTTTGTGGAAATCTAACCAGTGAATAGGTGTAAAAGCAGATATTCGGATGTTTGGGTGTGTCGTATGATTGGACAATGGTTAGTGCTCATTTTTGTGGGTCTGCATTGAACTACAGAGAAAACATTCTGGAAGATTTCCACAAGAAGCTAAAGACATGTTTACAGGTAGTCCTCACGACCACAATGGAGCCCAAAATTTCTGTTGTTAAGTAAGGCAGTTGTTAAGTGAGTTTTCTCCCATTTTACGACCTTTCTTACTAACAGGGTAACACAGTTGATAAGTGAATCCGGCTTTCCCCGTTGATTTTGCTTGTCAGAAAGGTTGCAAAAGATAATTACATGACCCTGGGACACAGAAAACTGTCATAAGCACCAGTCAGTTGCCCAGCCTCTGAATTTTGATCATGTGACCATGGGGATGCTGTAATGGTCGTAAGTGTGAAAAACGGTCCTAAGTCACTTTTTTAAGTGCCATTGTAGCTGTGGAACAGTCACTAAATGAACTGTTGTAAGTCAAGGACTACTTGTAATAAGTGAAGGTTCCGTTGTCGTGCACTCACAATTATTTCTCCTAGATTAGGAATGAACATTGAGGTTATGCAGTCCAGCCCCACATGGTGTTAGACCAGTGTTTCCCAAACTTGACAATTTTAAGGCATGAGGACTTCAACTCCCAGAATTCCACAGCCAGCAACGCTGGCTGTGGAATTCTGGGAGTTGAAGTCCACATGCCTTAAAATTGTCAAGTTTGGGAAACACTGTGTTAGACCAACCTTGCCTCTTTTATGACTCGTGGACTTCAACTCCCAGAATTCCTGAGCCAGCCATGCTGAGGGGTAAGGGAGAAGTTTTCAAGCTGAGCCATGCTGGCTCAGGAATTCTGGGAGTTTAAGTCCACAAGTCATGAAGAGGCCATAGTTCCCCCATGCTGGCTCAGGAATTCTGGGAGTTGAAGTCCATGAGTTATGAAGGGGCCAAAGTTTCTCTCATGCTGGCTGAGGAATTCTGGGAGTTGAAGTCCACAAGTCATGAAGGGGCCATAGTTCCCCCATGCTGGCTCAGGAATTCTGGGAGTTGAAGTCCGCGAGTCATGAAGGGGCCATAGTTCCCCCATGCTGACTCAGGAATTCTGGGAGTTGAAGTCCACAAGTCATGAAGGGGCCATAGTTCCCCCATGCTGGCTCAGGAATTCTGGGAGTTGAAGTCCACGAGTCATGAAGGGGCCATAGTTCCCCCATGCTTGCTCAGGAATTCTGGGAGTTGAAGTTGAGTTGAAGATCATCCCCCCTTCATGTAAGTCTCAGTTAAATGTTATTTTGTCCACAGAACACCTAGATTCAAACAAACCCTTTGAAGTGTTAAGGTGACAACCGAGTGCCTTATTCACATAAATAAATGAAGGTTAGTTTGGTGTTGATTTAATGTTTGTGATCGTTTCGGAAGAAATAGATATGGAAAGAAAGGCAAAAAAGTCATTTATGCTTATTATGTCCTGCTCTGTCTAACTGCCTCTCTACAGTCCTGCCCAGTTTAATAATCATCTATAACAGGGCTCTTCAAACTTGGCCCTTTTATGACTTGTGGACTTCAACTCCCAGAATTCCTCAGCCAGGGTGCCTGGCTGAGGAATTCTGGGAGTTGAAGTTCACCAGTCATGAAGGGGCCATAGTTCCCCCATGCTGGCTGAGGAGTTCTGGGAGTTGAAGTCCTCAAGTCATGAAGGGGCCATAGTTCCCCCATGCTGGCTCAGGAATTCTGGGAGTTGAAGTCCACAAGTCATGAAGGGGGCAAGTTTGAAGACCCCTGGCATAAGTGAAACCACAACATGCTTATTTACCTTTACTTTGCTTTACAGACCTGCAAAGGTCGTAAACACGAGTCACAAAGTCCGTTGTCCATCACCTTTGTAACTGTGACGGGTCGCTGCACGAGGCAGTCACTAAACAGGACTAATCCTGTACAAGCTTGTCATTGTCCCTAGCTGCAACCTTCCCTTTATTCCTCCAACTTGCTGTCTATATTTTACTGAAATTTAAGAATCTTAACATACAAGTACTTATAAGACTTAACAATCACTCATTTAGTGACCGTTCAAACTTACAACCACCCTGAAACAAGGGACTTATGACCGTTTTTCACCCTTATGAACATTGCAGCATCCTCGTGGTCACATGATCAAAATTCAAACGCTTGGGCAACCGATTCACATTTATGACGGTTGCAGCATCCCGGGGCTCACATGATCCCCTTTTGTGACCTTCTGACAAGCAAAGTCAATGGGGGAAGCGGGATTCACTTAACGACCGAGTTACTAACTTAACTGTAGTAGTTCCCTTAATTGTGCCAAGAGAGGCCGTAAAATGGGGCAAAATTCACTTAATAAATAACAACAACAACAATAACAACAATAACAGTTCTATTTCTATGTCTCGCTTAGCCACGGCTCAATGGTAGTCGTAAGTTGAGGACTACCTGTATCCCTTTTGTGAGGAATGCTTTTGAAGTGACCTTTGAATGGGCGACGTCTCGTATATCTTCTTTGGCCTCGTGAGAATCAGGAAGGGACATAATTGGGTCTCCCGTCAATTCTTTAATTCCTCCCAACAAACAAGCTTGTGACAAGGAGTACCAAAGTCCACTGGCTCAGTGTGAGGAGGAGGAGGAGGACACACCGTTTTTGACTGCATTGGCTGCCCTTCTGGCCTTTTCCCCTTTTTCTATTTTATAGCTTGTGATCTCGCAGTGGCCACGTTGCCATGGAAAGGATTAGTCTGGCATGAATGAGCGCGCCCGTTTATTAAGTCCTCTCAGCAGCCAGGAGTGGATTCAGAGGACGGCAAAGAAAAACGAAAAACTTCAGAACACGCAAACAATGTGAACGCAAACCAAGGCCACCCTCAAAGCGAATTCACAGGTTCAGAGAAGACTCCGAGAAATCCGGAAGGGAATTGTTAAGCTCCCTGAATAAGGTAGAAAAACGGAAGCCTTTTTTTGCAGAAAAAGAAAAACATTAATTTAGGCCCAAATCACCCAGCGGGCTTTCATGTCCAAGGCGGGACTAGAACTCCCTGTCTCCTGGTCATTGTTCCAGATTCATTCAGCCAGCTTTCCTGCCTAAAGCAACAGATTTTAGGGATTTGGCACAAAATCTCCCAAATGCCTTTTGTGCCTAATTTGAGATTAGAGCTCACCGTCTCCTGGGGATTGGTCCAAAGTCACCCAGCTGGCTTTCATCCCTAAGGCAGAACTAGAACTCACCGTCTCCTGGGGATTGGTCCAAAGTCACCCAGCTGGCTTTGACACCTAAGGTGGGACTAGAACTCACCGTCTCCTGGGGATTGGTCCAAAGTCACCCAGCTGGCTTTCATCCCTAAGGTGGGACTAGAACTCACCATCTCCTGGTGATTGGCCCAAAGTCACCCAGCTGGCTTTGACACCTAAGGTGGGACTAGAACTCACTGTCTCCTGGTGATTGGCCCAGAGTTACCCAGTCGGCTTTCATGCCTAAGGCGGGACTAGAACTCACCGTCTCCTGGGGATTGGCCCAGAGTCACCCAGCTGGCTTTGACACCTAAGGTGGGACTAGAACTCACCATCTCCTAGTGATTGGCCCAAAGTCACCCAGCCATCTTTTGTGCCTAAAGTAGGACTCGAATTCAAGGTCTCCCACTTTTTAATCTGATGCCACAACCACTAGATCAGACTATTTATTTATTTTATTTATTATGAGACTTATATACCGCTTTAAGTGCAAGCACTCTCTAAGCGGTGTACACCAGTAAGCAACGTGTGTGTATATATATATATATATATATATATATATATATATATATATATATATATATATATATATATATAGGTCTTTGGTTGTTCGGGTTTTCTCCCACGTAAAATTGGAAGTGTCTTGGCGACGTTTCGACGAAGTCCCATTCGTCATCTTCAGGCTGGTGCTTTCAGCTTCGTGCCTCGAGCTGCAGTGTGTGGTCTTGGCTGTTTCTTCCTTTTAACTGCCAGTGGAGGTATGAACTGATTGGGTGGGAGCTTGGCTGTGTTCTGATTGGGTGGAGGTGTGTTCTGATTGGTTAGGGGCTTGGCTGTGCTCTGATTGGCTGGGGGGTTGGCTGTGCTCTGATTGGCTGTGCTCTGATTGGCTGGGGGAGTGTTCTGTTTGCAGAACACTCCCCCAGCCAATCAGAGCACAGCCAATCAGAGCACAGCCAACCCCCCAGCCAATCAGAGCACAGCCAAGCCCCTAACCAATCAGAACACACCTCCACCCAATCAGAACACAGCCAAGCTCCCACCCAATCAGTTCATACCCCCACTGGCAGTTAAAAGGAAGAAACAGCTAAGACCACACACTGCTGCTCGAGGCACGAAGCTGAAAGCACCAGCCTGAAGATGACGAATGGGACTTCGTCGAAACGTCGCCAAGACACTTCCAATTTTACGTGGGAGAAAACCCGAACAACCAAAGACCTACATACAAATACCCGCGAAAACCTCAGAAAACATATATATATATATATAATATATATATATATATATATATATATATATATATATATATATTTACATTGCCCCCAACAATCTGGGTCCTCATTTTACCTACCTCGGAAGGATGGAAGGCTGAGTCAACCTTGAGCCGGTGAGATTTGAACCGCTGACCTGCTGAACACAGTCAGCTAAAGTGGCCTGCAGTACTGCTGCGCCACCTCGGCTCTTTCTGAGACAGCACCGCCCTGGCATAGCAAAGCTTTTGCAGAAATACAGCTGTCCATTAATGCAACTAAGTACAGCTACCGGTAGTAGTCTTTCACTTATGGAAGTAATGGAGCCTGCTCTTCATGGTCATATAATAATAATAATAATAATTAATAATAATAATAATGCAACGATATCTGTAATAACATCAAACATCCACCTCTGCCTATCCCAGGTCCTTGGGAAGGACTCGATAGGTAGACAAAAATGCCAAATTCAGTCTGAACATCTGGCTGACTGTGCGATGATCCATAATAATAATGATAATAATAGTAATAATACTTTGTCATGCCATTGCTTGTAGTCAGATCGCACAGACTGACTACAAGCAGCGGCATGACAAAGTAGCAACAATGGTGCATTGGAAGATCTGCAAGAAATATCATTTGCCTGCAAGCAAGAACTGGTGGGACCGTAAAATAGAGAAAGTCTTAGAAAATGATAAAGTTAAATTGCTCTGGGACTTTAGAATTCAAACAGACAGGCACTTGCAACATAACACCCCAGACTTAACAATTGTCAATAAGAAAGACAAAAAAGTCTAGATAGTGGACGTGGCAGTACACAAAGACAGCAGAATAGACGAGAAAGAACTGGAGAAGATAACAGAATACAAAGACCTACAAATAGAAATAGAAAGACTGTGGCAAAAGCAAGCAAGGGTAGTACCAATAGTCATAGGCTCCTTGGGTGCAATCCCAAAACAACTGGAGCACCACTTGAAAATCATCATCGGCATTGACAAATTCGCCTTCAGTCAATTGCAAAAGGCAGCCTTACTAGGAACTGCTTCCATTCTGTGACAAGATCTGTAATACCATCAAACATCCACATCTGCCTATCCCAGGTCCTGGGTAAGGACTCGATAGGTAGACAAAATGCCAAATCCAGTCTGAACATCTGGCTGACTGTGCGATGATCCATAATAATAACAACAACAACAACAACAACAATAATAATAATAATAAAAAGTTGGAAGGGACCTTGGAGGTCATCTAGTCCAACCCCCTGCTCAGGCAGGAAACCCTATACCATTTCACACCAATGGCTGTCCAGTCTCTTCTTGAAAACTTCCAGTGTTGGAGCATTCACCGCTTCTGGAAGCAGGCTGTTCCACTGGTTAATTATTCTAACTGTCAGGAAGTTTCTCCTTAGTTCTAAGTTAGTTCTAGGCCCATACCTGTCTTGCCCCAGAGGCCTCCTCTAGTGAAATTATACCTGTGCAAAGTGCAGAATTATCCTTCCTTTCTTCGCATGCAGACAGTCCCTGTAGCCAGGGAGACCTTTGCAAAAGCTTTATCGGATTTCAAAAGCTGGGCAATTATCTCCAGCCTATTGTTCGGAGGCATAAATTCGGGAGGAAGGTTTCTGCTACCTCGGTTTGAGAGAGCAGCCCGATCAGCAGGCCTATTAAACATTCATTCTGGGCTTGTGCAAGGCGACGCAGCAGCTGGCCTGAAAGCAAAAGAGGCTGTAAACCGGAGGGAGGATAAATGAAAAGGGAATCGAGGAAATACAGATGAATGAATGAATGAATGAATGAATGAATAAAATGCGCTTTGAGCTGACTTCTGCTCGTGGTGGCTGCACAGGGAGGTCCCTGAGGGTTTTATTTATTTATTTATTTTGGCAATGTTCCTTGCTAAAAAAAAAAAAAGTGCTTCTTTCTAGAATGTAGCATCTTTCCCAGTCTGGGGTTTTGTCCTGTGGTTTCTGTGTGGCCTCCCATCCAAACTCTAATTAAATTCAGCCCTGCTGTGCTTTTTGAGATATATTTCCCCTGAAGTCTTGTTGGGTTGCCTCACCACGACTGCAGTTGGGTGGTAATGGTGATATACACCAACTGTCTCTCTCTCTCTCTCTCTCTCTCTCTCTCTCTCTCTCTCTGTGTACACACACACATACACACACACATACCAACATACACATACACATACACATACATACCCATACACATATATACAGGTAATCCTGGACTTACAACAGAGAATAGAATAGAATAGAATAGAGTAGAATAGAATAGAATAGAATAGAATAGAATAGAATAGAATAGAATAGAATAGAATAGAATAGAATAGAATAGAATATATGGAATAGAATAGAATAGAATAGAATAGAATAGAATAGAATAGAATAGAATAGAATAGAATAGAATAGAATAGAAAATATTGAATGGAATGGAATGGAATGGAATAGAATAGAATAGAATAGAATAGAATAGAATAGAATAGAATAGAATAGAATAGAATAGAATGGAGAATAGAATAGAATAGAATAGAACAGAACAGAATAGATAGAATAGAATGGAAAATGGAATGGAATGGAATGAAAAATATAGAATAGAATAGAATAGAATAGAATAGAATAGAATAGAATAGAATAGAATAGAATAGAAAATATGGAATAGAATAGAATAGAATAGAATAGAATAGAATAGAATAGAATAGAATAGAATAGAATAGAATAGAATAGAATAGAGAAAATATGGAATGGAATGGAATGGAATAGAATAGAATAGAAAATAGAATAGAATAGAAAATATGGAATAGAATAGAATAGAATAGAATAGAATAGAATAGAATAGAATAGAATAGAATAGAATAAGGCAGTGATGGCGAACCTTTTAGAGACCGAGTGCCCACACTGCAACCCAAAACCCACTTATTTATCGCTGGATGCCAGGTGGGCATGGCCCATTGGATGGGCGTGGCTGTTGTCATGGCAGACTGGGTGGGCGTGGTCACCTCAATGTTGCTCGTGGGGAGGGATGCCTGTGGGGGCCGGGCAGGGTTGGGGGAGATCCAGGGGGTCTCTGGCAGGTGGGGTGGTAGGCAGGAGGCTCATCCTGAGGGGTGAGGCGAGGCAGAATGGGGGTGCCATTGTCGCAGGGCAAAGCAAGGCAGGGGCCAGGGTGGCTGCTGCCTGACACCATTGGCCCCCCCACACAGAGGCCAGCAAGCGCATGGGGGCCGACAGTGTCCGTCAGCAGCCACAACCTGCCGGTGGCTGGTGAACTCTGGGCTCCGCAGCCCACCCCCAGCAGTTCAGAGAAGCCGTCTCTGAGCTGGATGGACGGCCGACAGCTGAGGAGGCGATGCAGTGGGTCGTGCCCGGGAAAAGGAGAGCATGCGAGGCCAGGAGGGATGGGACGGGTGGGAGGGAGGGAAACCAGCCATGCTGGGATGCATCCGGCCACGGGGGACCTCAGCGAGTTAGCAGCGGCTGGTTGAAGAGGGACAGTTGCCATCTCCAGGGCATGGTGCGCGTGCCCACAGAGAGGCCTCTGAGTGCCGCCTCTGGCACGCGTGCCATAGGTTCGCCACCACTGGAATAAGGTGTCGGAATACATATTAGAATGTATTTTCTATTGCAACGACTACAGAATTATTCTGCCTGCAGATGGCAGTGTTTAGTGTGCATCTATGGTTATAATCTATGGTTTCTTGATGCTCTGAAGGGAGTTTCTTGTTTCCTGTGACAGTAATATACCGTATATGCCAGCGTATAAGGCGACCCGGCGTATAAGATGACCCCCATCTTTGGTGCCGAGTCGCATGCCTAGAACGTCGTCTTATACGCCGGAAACTACCAGTATTTCCGGCGTATAAGACAACTCGGCGTATAAGACGACCCCTGTCTTCGGCGCCAATTTTAACCCTTGCGAAAGTCGTCTTATACACCGGCATATACGGTAGTTGAGCAGTAAAGCACATGGTGACAGTACTCTTTCTTTGCTCTGTGTGGTGCTTTATATAAACAGAATTTCTAACAAAAGGGCTGAGGGGATTAGGTGTGAAGGATGAAACTTTGGCAGCTATGTTCCTCTGCATTTCAACTTGCTTTTAGATTAAGGAGGCAGGAGATGTTACTTTCAAGTGGGTAAGAAGGATTCAGATGAAGACCATGGGAGCCTGTCAAGGACACCAGAACAAGCGTGGAATTTGACGCAGACAGTTTCCGTAACAAAGTGGATTTATTGATATGGATTACATAAGACGTTGGGGGGGGGGAGTGTTGGCCGGGAAAATTATTGAATTGGTGTGGGGAATTAATTAGTTTTACTTTGACATAACCCTGCAGGGTATCCCATAAACAGTAAATGTTTCAGAAACAAGATGAACCTGGAGTTTTATTTGGATTCTCAAGCTGGATGTTGACAATAGGTATGTAAAGCAGAGACATCACCTGGCCGACAGAGGTCCGTATAGTCAAAACTACAGTTTTCCCAGTAGTAATGTAGGGTTGGACCATAAGAAAGGCTGAGCGCCAAAGAATGGATGCTTTCGAATTGTGGTGCTGGAGAAGACTCTTCAGAATCCCTCAAACTGCAAGGAGATCCAGTCAGTCGATCTTAAAAGAAACCAACCTTGACGCTTCTTTGGAAGGACAGATCCTAAAGCTGAAACTCAAATCCTTTGGCCACCAAAAGAAGAGAGAGGACTTCTTGGAATAACAGAATAACAGAGTTTTTAAGAAGAGACTGGACAGCCTTTTGTCCAAAATGGTGTAGGGTTTCCTGCCTGAGCAGGGGGTTGGACTAGATGACCTCCCAGGTCCCTTCCAACTTTACTACTACTATTATTATTAGAGTTGGAAGGGACCTGGAAGGTCATCTAGTCCAATCCCCTGCTCAGGCAGGAAACCCTATACCATTTCAGACAAATGGCTGTCCAGTCTCTTCTTAAAAACTTCCAGTGTTGGAGCATTTACCGCTTCTGGAGGCAGGTGGTTCCACTGGTTAATTGTCCTCACTGTCAGGAAATTCCTCCTTAGTTCCAGGTTGCTTCTCTCTTTGATGAGTTTCCATCCGTGGCTTCTTGTCCTGCCCTCAGGTGCTTTGGAGAATAGCTTGACTTAACAACAGAATAATAGAATATTATTATTCTATTCTATATATTATTATAGAAGCATGCTCATTTTTTAATTTAAAAAACTGAGGTTCCCAGCAATTTCCCGGTCTGCTCTTTCTTTTTTTCCCCCTTTCTTTGTTCCAAAAAACAAATTCAACTCCTTCCGTGTAACTAACAAGTTGATTCCTCGGGTGCCTTAATGATTTCCCCGTTTTGACACGTTACCACATACAAATTGTTAGAAGGCACATGTAGCCCTGGAGAACTGCAGATTAGGTCACTTATTCTATAGAACAACCCTTCTGGCTTCTGAGATTATTCTTATTATTATTTTAGCCTTCCTGGTGCCTTCCCAGCCTGAATCATGAGGGATAGAAGCATACTCGTTTGTTTGTTTTTTTTAATTTAAAAAAACCGAGCTTCCCAGGATGCCAATTTCCTCTGTCTGGTCTTTCTTATTCTTTTCTTTTCTTTTCTTTGTTCCCAGCAGACAAAGCATCCTTACCAGCTTATCCTCTGAAGGATTCTGTGGACTAAAGTCTTCCCCTGCAAGCATTAACCTGAATTGTACGGATTATCTTTTCCTTGTCTCGAACCGATGGTCTGTGCCATTTATAACCACCTACCACCGGAATGGAAGCATGCACTTTTACTAAATAATATAATATATATCTGTCTGTCTCCCTCCTGAAATTGCTGCCTTTTGACCTCTACAAATTGGTTTATTCTTCTCTCTCTCTCTCTCTCTCCCCTCTGCCTTCTTTCATTGCACAGATTTCCTGCCCCTGACGGCCAGCTGATGCCTTTCTGGAACAATGGTCATCCTACAGCAGGTGAGTTGTTTAAACCGCGGTTTGGTTTGTTCGCGGGGTTAATGTGAGAAAGTAGCTGTCACCAGTTGAATGGGTGTTGCATATGCATGTGTGTGTGTGTGCGTGAACAGTCTACAGCTTGGGGGGGGGGTCAGCTGAGGTCAAGCCATTTGGACAGGGCTCCTGTTTCTGGGAAAAGGGGGATGAAAAAATTGACATTTTGTTCTCTGCACAGCTTAAAAGGTACAATCGGAACACGCTGTCACAGATTAAACAGATTTAGTGGAGCAAAGAGGCCGCTGTGACTCGCTTGCTTTGCCAGTCAGTTGTGCATTGGAGAGAAAAACTGCAAAGGGGCTCATGTGAAATTGTGGGAATTGAACGCACTGCTTTTTTTTTTTTTAATTAGGGCGTTTGTGCAGGATCCAGAGCAGAGTTTGATATTTTTTTAACGGTTCTCCCCCCCCGCCCCGGCCAAAAAAGACACCGATCAAATAGAGCTTCAGATGCCGTTCAAAATATTAGCAAACCACGAAATTATAAATTAACACACATTGTGTCGTTTGAGAATTATACCTGGAGAGGGAGGGAACCCCATGGAGGAGGAAAGGAACTGTGTAAAGAAATTAATTCTAGAATATTTGACTCGGCAGTTTGAAAAATCCTCTACTCAAAGGAGGCCTGTGTTGTATCCGCCTTGGAGAAGATTTATCCTTGATTATTTAATATTCCAGTTTGCTGGAAATGTAACAGAGAGAATGAACTGCTCAGAAATAGTCCCATAAATTCGGAGTTTGTGACACCACCTCTAAATCGATCTGCTGTTCAAACAGATCTAAATCCCAGGCTAGGTTTATAAATCATTGTAAAGGAGCAATGGGTAAAGCGTTTTGTTTATCAAGATGGTGTATGTGATGGGGGGGGGGGTAGAGAATTCCATGACCTCCAGATGTTTTGGATCCCCGTCCCCCCCCCCAAATCATTGTGGGTTCGTGCCGGAGGAATGAAGCTTGACATCCCTGGGTGACACCCCTTCACACATTCAGGGTTGAATAGAGTTCTGCCCACAGCAATATGGCTTTTAAATATTGTTTGCAGAAAGGAGAAAATGCAAAAACAGGAGACCTGGAGGAGGAGGAGGAGGAGGAGACGGAGGAGGAGGAGGAGGCTGGAGAAAAAAGCTGAAGGAGGAAAAGGGAAGGGAAGGGGGAGAAGGAGAGGAAGAGGAAGAGGAGCAGAGGAAAGGGAAGAGGAAGGAGTAGGGGAAAGAAGAAGGGGAAGAGAGGAAGGAAAAGGAGGAGGAGGAGAACGGGAAGAAGGAAGAAGGGGAAAAGAGGAAGGAGGAAGAGAAGGGGAAGGAGGAAGGGAATGGAAGGAAGAATGGAAGAGAAGAAGGGAGGAATCAGAAGAAGAAAAGAAAGAGAAAGGAGGAAGGGAGGGTGAGGAAGAAAGAGGAGGAAGGAAGGGAAATGAAAGAAAGAAGGAGAAAGGCAGGCTGGAGAAGGAAAAAAAGAGGGGGAAAGGAACATAGGGAGGTAGGAGACAGAGAAGGAAACTTTGAATCTAAGTCTCGTTGCTTAATTCAGAGTCCAACAAATCTGATCCAACTATAGGTTTTTCTGCTAGGGCAGGGGGCTAGACTAGAAGACCTCCAAGGTCCCTTCCAGCTCTATTCTAGTCTGTTCTGTTCTGTTCTGTTTTATAATTCTATTCTATTCTATTCTGTATTTTTATTCTATTCTGTATTTCTGTTTTATTCTGTATTTCTGTTCTATTCTATTCTATTCTTATTTCTATTCTATTCTATTCTATTCTCTATTTCCTATTCTATTCTATTCTATTCTATTCTATTCTATTCTATTCTATTCTATTCTATTCTTATTCCTATTCTATTCTATTCTATTCTATTCTATTCTATTCTATTCCATTCCATTCCATTCCATTCCTATTCTATTCTATTCTATTCTATTCTATTCTATTCTTATTCGTATTCTGTATTCTGTTCTGTTCTATTCTACTCTACTCTACTCTACTCTACTCTACTCTACTCTACTCTACTCTACTCCACTCCACTCCACTCCACTCCACTCCACTCCACTCTATTCTATTCTATTCTATTCTATTCTATTCTATTCTATTCTATTCTATTCTATTCTATTCTATTCTATTCTATCCAAAGTTCATCCCCAGGTAAATGGGCCATTTCTCTAAGGAAGCAAAAGCCTAATCCCTGATATAAACTTTTTGGGAAGCTAAACTTTTGGGGAGACTAAAGAGAATCAGGACTGCAGTCTAATTCTCTGTCCCAGTTTAATTTTAATTTTTGTATTTATTATTAAATGTACACAAAAATATATGTGAGCACCGCACCGTTGCCTCCCACCGATTTTTCTCCCGATAGCTTTTTCAAAGACACCACGGACCAAATTTTAAAGAGCTCAGAAAAATCAATACAGACCATCTCTCCTTTTGGCTTTTGGCTTCCCCCCAAAAAAGCAGAAAGTTGTTGAGACTTTGTCTCGCAAAGTTGTTTGCGACACCCTTTTGATCCTGGGTTGACTGAAGGAAGAAAGAAACAAAGAGAGCCAAGATTCCACAAATGGGGAATTGGAAAAATACGCTTAGAGGCAGACAAACCTCTCCGTGTTTCTTTAAGCAAGATTTTAATTCCAAAACAGATTAAGGATTAGTTTGAAATCAGCAGGCCAGTGTGTGTGTGCATGTGTGTATGTGTGTGTGGAGGGGGTTCGCCATGTATTTTGAGAGCCAGGAAAATCTACATGGTGCTCTGCCTGCCAGCAGTTGCTAGCTTGTTTAGTGGTGTGTGTGTGTGTGTGTGTGTGTGTGTGTGTTAATGAGTTCGATAAACTTGTGGTTGCATTTGTAAAATACGCTTATCTGAGGTCTTACAGTAGTGGCCAAAATTGTGGAAACCTTTTGGGAAAAGTGTACAGTACAAATGCCACCTTTGGTTAAGTTTCCACCCATTTTTCTTCTAATTTCTTTATAACTGTAGCCTTGTTCACTTAATAATACTATTTTGCATCGCTTTCTGGGCGACCGGTCAACTCTTTGCACCATTACTTTAATTTTATGACGTTTTACAAGCTCACTAAATGAAAGAACACAAAAAAAAACCCCAACCGACTTGATAGCGATCACATAACACCTGACAAATGTCCTCCTCTCAGCTTCAATAAAGGACATCAATAACTGGATCCTACTGTGATCTGATTGGCTCATTGCCAAAACAAGATGACATCTGATTGGCTCTCTAGGCACTCATGCTCATTGGCTACAATCAGATGAAGGAAAGCTGCCTGAGATCAACCTAAGCAAGTTGTGCTTCCTTTTTCTGGCTATTTGGCTATAACTTTTCATAGAATACAATACAGATCATTGAACAAAATTTGTTGCATTACATTCTTGATTAAATTATCTTTCTATTGATATATAATTTTATGGTACTACTCCAAAACTAAATTACCAAGCTCTTGTAAACCTCAAAAATACGCTTCTCCCAAAAGGTTTCCACAATTTTGGCCACTACTGTATTTGGTTGTACACTAGGTGGGAGAAGAGTTATCTAGATCAGGGGGTCTTCAAACTTGGCCCTTTGATGACTTGTGGACTTCAACTCCCAGAATTCACGCTGGCTGGTTGAAGTCCACAAGTGGACTTGTGGTTGTGGTTGAAGTCCACAAGTCATCAAAGGGCCAAGTTTGAAGACCCCTGCCCTAGGGCAGTGTTTCCCAAACTTGACAATTTTAAGGCATGTGGACTTCAACTCCCAAAATTCCACAGCCAGCATTGCTGGCTTTGGAATTCTGGGAGTTGAAGTCCACATGCCTTAAAATTGTCAAGTTTGGGAAACACTGCCCTAGGGCAATGTTTCTCAACCTTAGCGGTTTTAAACTGTATGGACTTCAACTCCCAGAATTCACGCTGGCTGAGGAATTCTGGGAGTTGAAGTCCACAAAGTCCTAAAAGGGCCAAGTTTGAAGACCCCTGATCTGGATGTTTGCAGCCCACATGTGGTGGCCCTGCTAAACTTTTTTCATATCATTTGTGGCTTGCTTCTTTGTGGGCGAACATGTGGTGGGATTTCACCTCACCGGATTAATTTATGGAGCAATTCAGTCACCAGGTTAAAACAGACCCTGGTTGTCAAAGGTGCCAACTTTGGATTAGACCAGTGGTTCTCAACCTGTGGGTCGAACGACCATTTCACGGGGGTCGCCAAACAACGCAGGCCGCCATTTTTTCCCCCCTTTTCCTTAGCTGTGCTGCTCCCTTTTATTCTATTGGCTTTTGAAAGCCAACAGAATAGACTCTCTTGAATAGAGTCTAATTCTATTGGCTTTCAAAAGCCAATAGGAATTGTCCAGGCTGTCTCTGCCCTGCTGAGCCCGCCAAAAGTCCCATTCTGCAAACGGTGCTGCACCAGTTGAGTAGTCCTCGACTTACGACCGGTTGAGTAGTCCTCGACTTACGACCGGTTGGGGGTCGCGGCATTAAAAAGGTTGAGAACCACTGGATTAGACAGATAACGTTTCCAGTGAAAGCATCCATGTTTGAATCAGATAGTCCCAAAGCGGCTTTTCCAAAAGGCAACCGGACTTTGTTTTTCCTTGAAGACGTTTCCCTTCTGCTCCAAGAAGCTTCTTCCGTTCTGACTGTCCGAACGGAAAAAGCTTCTTGGAGGAGAAGGGAAACGTCTTCAAGCAAAAACAAAGATCCTTCAGTCAGAACTGGAGAAGCTTCTTCTGTTTGGATTTGAATCTATAATTTCTGGAGGCAAGCTGGTGGAATGACTTCCCTCCAGAGGTTGTGGGTGCTCCATCACTGGAGGATTTCAAAAAGAGACTGGACAGCCATTTGTCCAGAATGGGGTATAGGATCTCCTGCTTGATCAGGGGGGTTGGACTAGATGACCTCCCAGGTCCCTTCCAGCTTTGTTATTCTGTTATTCCTGTTGGACTTCTCCTTCAGGACCCTAAATCACATAGCCTCATAAACCA